TTTCCATAAATCATGGGTTATATTCACTGGCGAAAATTATCTCAAAAAGTGCTTCATCCTGGACATCATTTTGATCATAATCAACCTTCAACATAGTAATTACCATGTACTGTAGCATATGATGTGATAACTATTGATGGATGAAGTCCTCCCCATGCCATGCCAGTTATGAGGGTTATTGACCATACTTTTCCATACTGGTCCACTGCAACTTGGTGAAGGGCTTAGGTGTAGGATCAGTTCACACATCATTGGTGTTCACCACTGCGCCACCGTTCCACCTCGGTTACCATGAATTCTGCCGTGTGTGTCAAGGTATGTCTGAATACATTGTGTCGGGAAAAGTAGTGCACACCTGTAATGTAAATATATGCATGAGATTCCTAACTGGCGAGGCTAATTAATGTCCTTGTATTTAGTAGCTTGTCCATCTATGGATTTGTGAGTCTAATTTGTGTGGATTTATTTCTGGGTAATTTTATCTCTTCCAAGAATCAAAATACGGTAGTCGGCTGAGAAATGGCCATATATTATCAAACATGATCAAGGGGCCATCTGAAATAGTGCAGTATGAGACTATCCTGTATAAACATAGGACAGTACATTATTAATGTATTCCGGATGTCGTGGGTTCGATCCCAACCTGTAGCTTGCATGTTCTCCCCGTAGTCACGTGGGTTTTTCTCCACGTCCTCCAGTTTTCCCCTAGACATTGAATTTCATGCGTCTAGATTATTTTGCTGCTGTGGATTTCCACGTGATGATAAACCGCTTAGTTGACCTATGGCTGAGTGAGCCTTACCTTGTAAGATGCAAATTTTTTTTTAGTTTTGTGTATATTTTTAAAGTGACTTGTTTACCGTTCCTATAATTTGCACTCGTGTCATGTTTTTGTATTATTTATTTGTTGCAACGTTCTGACTTGCCCCAACTGGATCTTTGTGAAAAAGAGCTTTATAGCTCATCGGATTCCTCCAGTATGAGTAAATATTCAGATGTTGATATTTGTGTGATTAGAACATATATTCGAAAATGTAAAATCCCAAGGCTGTACGGTAGAGTACGGCATTCTCAAACGTTCTACTGTCAAAGTGTTAGGCTGTTATCGATTTGGCTCTTATTTCAGAGCTTGGACAATGTCATTTAAGTTGGTTAATCAACCAAAAATTTTAATAGACTGCATTTTTTGTGGTTGATTACTCGGGCCACTTAAAAATTGGTGGATGCCCCCACATCCTGCCTACTGAAGGCAGGAAACCCCCAATAACCCATGCCCAGTGTGGCGTGGCTGATAATGCTGCTGCTGATGATGTCACCAAGCCCCGCCCATCACCTACCCTTCAGCGGCACACGTAGGAACAGAGGTGGGACTCCGAACTACGTTCATGTTATACAATTGGTTGAGTCGAGTAATTAATTCGACAACTTAAGTAATCGGATATCCCAGCTATAGTCAAATCTGTAAGTGGTAAGAAAAACATCATAACAGGATAATAGTGCAGGCCGGAAACATATCCAAGCCATACTTTATTTATTTGTTATCAAGTAAAATGATGGCTTTTAAGTTGGCTGAATCTGCCCTGATATGCTCGCTGCTTGATTGGTATTAACATCCGCGAACATCTGTACAGTACAGTGATTTTTTGTTTGACTGCTTGGCAACTACTACTTATGTATGTAAAACTTTTTTCGCACCGTACATAGCCAATAGTGCCAATCGGAGGTGCTGTGTAGAACAGCACGCGAAGAGTGTGACTTAGTCGTCACGTTGACACCCACGAGATGTGAAAGTAAATGAACTACAGGTTCGGTGGATCACGTGTAATGGTCAACTCTAGTGACTGAATGTGTGCTTCCTGGTTAACAATGCCACGAGCTGAAGGGGGGCATGACCTTTTGGCTCATAAATTTAATATTTAAAGTCAAATGCCTACAAGAGAGCACTGTCCAAAAGTAATTTTACCGGGGGCAATCCACTGCTGGGTGAACGACTCATCATTGCTGTGTTTGTCGTGGGGGTTGTTTGACTATACTTCGTGCTGGTCAGTACGGGTTGGTGAAGGGGGGTGGTGGGGGGGGGGCCCGGGGCCCAGCAATGGTTCAGATATCACTCGGCACTCACTCTAGCTGTGGTCGGGAATCGAACTTGGGAAAGCAAGTTTGTGTGTCGCAGTGTACTGACAATTCGGCCATCGCTCAACGCCCGAGAGTATGCATGTTGTTTTTTTTTTACTATTTTGTTACTTTCATTTTAGGTGAAGATAGAGCGATGCATTCCTTGCCACCGATGGTTGCGCAACGTGTGTAAACAGAAGCAAGCAATTTGAAAGCTTTCGCCTGTTTTTTTGTGAATTTAAGAAAAATTGGCTTTAAAATGTTGACACTTGATGTGAACGTTGATGCGAATAATTAACAAGTACACTTTGGTGTTCAATAAATATAAAGCAATAATATACGTGACACTTGAAAAATCTACCCTTTTTGGGAATACCTGTATTTTATTCAGATGTGTTCGGCCCAATTCTATTGAAATGTAGGGTGTAATCCAAAAGTTAACATGTACTGAGAAGGGGATGGTGACCGTCGGCAAGAATAGCTACTGAGGGGCGGCCAAAGGAGGGAATGCCAAAGAGGATGTCCAATGCAGAGATGGAGCGATGAGATCGGCTTGTGTACAAAGGTGGTTTGTTACACTGCAGGACCGTGAGGAATGGTGACGGCTTGCGGAGGGAGGCCTTCATCCAGCAGTGAATCGACCATGTCTGACGACGATGATGATGTTCATTAATACAGTGCTGTTTCTTCATCAGTCATACAGAAGAGGGTATTTAATTTTTTTTAACCTGTTCTTGTCCGTTATCCTCTTATCTGTGAGAACTGCTATCTGCGGTAGTCGGCAGATATGTTTGCAGATTTTTTTTGCTTTTGCGTGCCAGCAGTTAAAGGGGGTGATTCCTAGCATTGGTGAGTAACTAACTCCACTTGCGTCGCACGATTACGTGGCGAACCACGTAATGAGGTTCTAGGGGTAATGACTTAACGTGCTGAACTGGGAAACAGTGCGATGGTGTGATGAGATTAACTGCCTGTGGTCAAATGACCTGGAATGCGCCCGATCTAGCCAGGTCTCCGAAGCTAAGTAATATTGAAGCCTGGGTAGTGTTTGGATGGGCGAAAACCATAAAAATAATGTGTTAAAGGCTGCTTGCAGAGCCACGCGGTGGGCAACAGATGGCAGTGACATCCTTTGTTCTAAACTTCTATGCTGCCCGCCATCAACAACTTGCACTGACAAGCTGAGTGAAGTATGCTTAAATAATAGCCAGCATTCCATATGGCACGGGCAGGTTCTCATCCAGCAGTGGATTGACAAACGGCTGTACATGTGCAGTGCGATTAACACGGTTGTTCACCGCCTGCGTGGGCCGTAGTGGTTGAGACGTCACGTGTGTCTTGTACCACAGCTCAGTCTGCCCCGGAACCTTGTTTTTAGTTTAAAGTTAGTTCTGATTATTTTATTGGAGCTATTTTTTCCACACGTGCACATTTGTTGACGACAAGCCCATTTGTAGCAACCAATGGAAATGAATCGCGGGAAACGAAAGAAGATCTTGATATCGAAGGCTGAAAAGTAGGGCGCAAGATAAACAATAAACTTGACTTGGCTTGTAACCAACTACCTCGTGTCTGGAGTGCAAGTCCAAAATTACAACGTCTCCGCTTTGGTGGCTGCTCAGCCTTGGTTCCTTATATGTACTATTATGATGGCGAGGAGGTCCAGTGGTCAGTGTGCTTATGAATCTAGGCTTTGTGGTTTGGAAAACAACCTCAATTTCTTGATAATGCGCTGTAGGAGCTTATCAAATATGTGCACCATCTGCCAACGCGTGAAAAGTTTACATGCATTTGCAATTGTTTTCTCATGCCATTTCGGTTCAATTTGCTGCTAGATGGAAGCCTCTCCACTGCCGTATTGATGATTGTTTTTTTTGTACTATATTTCCCCCACTTGTATAACTGTGGGTTGGTGACGGTGGGTGGCCAGGGATTGCTTTGTATGTCTCTCGTAGCTCATGTTCGCAGTGGCGGGGAATCGAACTCGGATGTCTGAGTTCGTAGTGCAGTGTGCCGCTGACCACTGTGCCACAGCTCCACTCAAATGCCGTGTTAAAACTACGGTTAACTATTGAAAATAAAAAAAATATTGCATCCCTTGAACCGTTTGGGAAAATAAGGAAGCACTTTGTTTCTATCAGTTGTGTCTGCATCTTTCCAGACAGGGAAACACAAGTTTGGAGAGAGAAGTGGATTGCATAGTTGCAGGGTGGAGCAATTTGTCAGTCCTTTTAGCAGTATATATTTATCGTGCCCTTTGCATGATAAACTCTTAATTGACTGGGAGGTGCTGCTCCCATCTAAATTTCAGACGATCTGTAGTCTTGCCTCTCTAACTGGTGTTCTTGTTATCCATGACCCCAGTTTTTTTGACCTGATTACGGATGTGAGGAGGTGTAACTGGTGCAGACGACTTGAGGGGAGCTCCGAGCCTTGTGGAGTTGTCGCCCGAGTTTTGGGCAATATCACCTCCGCAGATCTCCCACGTGTTTTCGGGTTGTTTCCGTTCATCAGCATGTCTGACATGTTGCACCTCGTGCTGGGAGGTTCTTCACGAACTGAATTTCAAGTTATAACCTGAAAACAAACATCGCAGAGCAACCTTGCCTTTGTTTGAATTTAATTTTAAAGTGAATAAACTTTCAACTTTGTTAAAGCCCGCCGCACTTGTGACACAATGAGAGTGTCATCAGGAAGTACAGGGTTGATGCACCATACCTTGTTTTTTTATGTGTTTTTATCTCTGCAGATACCTCTATTATAGGATGCATCGCTCATCCACTGTATGCAGAGATGTTAGAATATATACATCAGAGGAGTGCAGATACGAGATGTTTCACTGTGCGTAACGGAAAAACGAATGTTTTTTTCTTTTATCATTACAGATGCAACAACGCGTTCCGCCCGTTTGCTGAGAATTTCGTAGCACCTTGCGGAAAATGACATCGAAGTAAACAAAATAAATCATGTCAGTTACTGGCAATGATGAGAAACCAGGGGGGAGAAAGCCAAGCCCTCCGAGCAAGGAGAACGGTGAACTTATCGTACGAGCTGAATATGACTACGAGTACACGAACACCAGTGGCCGCGTGGTGACGATCAAGGAAGGCGAGGAGTTTGAGCTCCTCAAGAAGACCAACGGCGACTGGTGGCAAGTCAGGCGTTTCGGAGAACGCAAACCCATTTACGTACCCGCGCTCTACGTCGTGGCGGTGCCGCGAAAGCTCGAGGAGGATTCGCGAAGGCTCGCGCGAGATGACGCGCAAATCCAGGCCAGCGACGGCCCAAAACCTGGCGAAGAAAAGAAGAGGACTCACTTCGAGGACATTCAGAAAATCAAGGAAGACCTCAGGCTTTCAGAGTCTGCCAAGAGGTCTGCGGAGGATGTCCGAAAACCTCCGGAGGAGCCGAGGAATGCGTCGGATGAGCCAAGGAAGGGGGGCGACACGTTGCCAAGAAAGCTCGGCGACGGCAGCAAAAGGGCGCTGATGCCACCACAGGTGCTCATGAACCTGAAGCACGTCATCAACAACAACAATAACGCACCGGCAGAGCAGCAGCTGAAGACGACTAGAAGCAATGACAAACCCGTGGAAGATGGCCCCAGGATAATTTCGGTTGCCGGAGGACCGCAAGCCGTCGATCCGAGCAAACCGTCGTCTCCGAAGATGCAGTGCGCCTTTGTCGTGATCGGCCGCGAGAACGCCGAAGGTGTTAAGGGGAAGAGCAACTCCCTTCCGGGGCATGCGGGAGGATTTGTACGCCAGTTTGACACCGTCACCCCTGGGAGCAGCATGGACGATCTGAGTAGCGGCAGCAATGCACACGTGAGTAAAAGCCGATCCCTTTTATATTGCAGTGAGTTACGGGGTGGATCACTGTGATATGAATCGTAAGTCGTCGTGTAAATGCTTGCTCTTGCCACTGCTCAACTAGGGGGAGCTCCCGAGAGCCCCGCTAGAAGGTATCTTGTACTCTTCCTCGGTGCAAAGACGGTCACTGCGTCGCTTTCAGGTGCGCTTCTGTGGCCGTCTGGGACGCTTTTCCGATATTAGGAAGCCACTGGAGCTATGCACTTTTTACGTGTCGATTGAAAACGAATTTCTTCAGAAGTGCTTTTTTTGTTTAGTTTGTTGTCCTTGCCCCCCCGCACCTCCGATTAGCACGGTTGGCTACGTAAGGTGCGAAAGAAGTTCAACACACATACATACATACATGTAGGCCTCACATCTTCGAAAAGGTGGGAGCACCCACACTTTACCCCCACCACATGCGATCGGCCGATCGACTAACTGCGCTGTACCCATTTATACTGCTGGGTTGACAGGTGCAGGTGGAATTCAAGAATACTGCGCAGGGAGATGGAACCATCGACCTCTGGATTGTGAATCCAGCATGCTAACCATTACACCACAGCAGCATCCGTTCCCCCAATATTTCAGGTCTTAATTTTAGCCGTGTTTTGTATGGGTCGGTGACCCCCGGAAAGGATTTCCCCTCCTGGCAAACACCACGACTTGCCAGCAAACTGGAAAATATATTGTGTGAAATTAAGCAATGTTGTATACTGTGCATAAAAAAAGTACTTAATGTCTATTTTTACAGGAGGCAGATGAATTTACGGTTATTCATTCGTGTTTATACTGAACATTACGGATGCAACAGTGCATCAAATGAGGCTAATAATATTTATTCTGTAGTCACAAAGTGTGCATCAATGTTGTGTTTGAAAAGCCTATTTTATGGAAATCCTGTGGTATTATATTTAGGGTATGGTATGAATAAAACTACAAACTAGACGGGGGTGGGGGGAAACCACATTGAAAATAACGCGGTAAAAACAAAACACAAATTATATATTTTTTTTAGTAAATCGTGACCCTGAATGGTAAGAATAGCCGGGCCAGTGAATGGTTGCATGCTTGCCAAACGTGTGGGTAGGAATGTGTTTATACAAATGTTGGCTACATCGCTTGTTCACAGCACCTGAGCCATTGGTGTACATTCCACATTTCTATGGCGGGGACCAGTCTTCCCAAAGAACGATCGCTAAATACCAATACCAAAGTGCCACTCATTTTAAATAGCACTGTGAAGAGTAATTCCCATGACTGATTTTGTCAACCTGAAGCTAGGCAACATTGGGCCTGGATATGACCACAATGCATGCCAGGTTGTTATAAGCTGCTGCGTAGTTACGTGGTGGGTAGGTAGCCAAGGGCAGTGCAGTGAAATCCACGGTTGTACTGTACTTCATGTTCCCACATCTATGTGCCCTGCCTTCAAGCCACATTCACCAGGGGGAAGCCTTTCTTTATCCAGCAGAACAAAGTATTGACAAGTGGCTAGACACAATAAGACTAATAAAGCCTCGATATGTAGCATGAATATAGTTATTGCATATTTCAGTTTTTTTTTATCTCCAATAAGAAATAACAATTCGATTAGAATGTACTAGTTATTTTGGTTAACAACCATATGACATTTTATTCAAAAGTTTATTGTTGTTTGTAGGCATAAAGATAAGGCGACTTGTGAATACCTTTTAAATGTTTGCGAGCTAATGAATTTCTGTTGCGCCTGCAATATCAAGCGACATCTTTGCCCGCACATTAATCGGCTTTGTCCATATTTTAGAACGTCACGCGTGCTTCCTGTGTAAGCTGTGCCGCTAATCTGATAGAATAGTCCCCCACGCGTGTGCACGAGAGAACCGTCAACACGGTCAGAGCGCAGGGTGCTAAAAGTCTACGGGCTGCATGCTGAACTTCTTCTCCACCGTACGTAGCCAACCGTGTTAATGGGAGGTGCAGTGTTGAGTCTATGGGCAGTGTTGAGTCTATGGGCAGTGTTGAGTCTATGGGCAGTGTTGAGTCTATGGGCAGTGTTGAGTCTATGGGCAGTGTTGAGTCTATGGGCAGTGTTGAGTCTATGGGCAGTGTTGAGTCTATGGGCAGTGTTGAGTCTATGGGCAGTGTTGAGTCTATGGGCAGTGTTGAGTCTATGGGCAGTGTTGAGTCTATGGGCAGTGTTGAGTCTATGGGTAGTGTTGAGTCTATGGGCAGTGTTGAGTCTATGGGCAGTGTTGAGTCTATGGGCAGTGTTGAGTCTATGGGCAGTGTTGAGTCTATGGGCAGTGTTGAGTCTATGGGTAGTGTTGAGGTTGGGCAGTGTTGAGTCTATGGGCAGTGTTGAGTCTATGGGTAGTGTTGAGTCTATGGGCAGTGTTGAGTCTATGGGCAGTGTTGAGTCTATGGGCAGTGTTGAGTCTATGGGCAGTGTTGAGTCTGGGCAGTGTTGAGTCTATGGGTAGTGTTAGTCTGTGGGCAGTATTTATGTTTGTCGAACTTATTTCGCACCGTACGTAGCCAACCGTGCTAATTGGAAACGCTGCGGAAGGACAAGAAACTCAACACAGAAAGCAGTTCTAAAGAAATTAGTTTAACATTTTGAGAAGTGAGAACGAAATGAGTTTTCAATTTCTCGAGATGTGACCAGTTCACCTCTGCCAGTGGTTTTGTGGGTAAATTTTCCATAACCTTGCACGAATGCTGACATTTAAACATCTAGAAATATACACACGTTATGAAAATGCATAAAAAAATGTAACCTTCACGTTATATAATGTGTAAACATATTAAATGCTATATCTTAGAACATGATTGTATTCACATTAACCGGAGCGTCATAGTTTATATGATAGTTTGGTAATTGTGGTAAGCTGATCGTAACAGCGACTTGTTAAGTATTAGTTTTGGCCCACTGGCTTCAGAAAAAATGTATAGTTTAATGTGATGGAAATTCTCCTTATAACCTCAAGATCGGTGAGTTTTGTTTAATATTGCATACATTACATAAATGGGGAAAGTAAAATAAATTTATATCTGAAAGCAGTCAAGAGTTGACAGAATAGGGGGCGGTATGAATATTCATTGTCCCAGAAGTGAAAACAAATAAAAAACCACAGGTAACCACCCCCCCCACCTCCCTTTTAGTAAGTAAGTACATTTATAAACGCGCAATCCTTACGACCTGGGTTCACTATGCGTGGCATATAGACGACAAAAATTCGATTTCTAATGTGCCTGTGGAAAACCCATTGAGACTCAAGGCTGTGCTACACACAATCTTCTCCAACGGCATCTGCTTATCCACCGTATGATTTTAAAACGTGACTCACATCACATGGCAGTCTTTTTGTAAATTGTAGGATGAATAAGCAGTGCCCGGGGCTTCAGACAAATATTTTTTTGTTTTATCAAAGATAATTTTTTTTCGTAATTTTCCCGTTCACGTAAATGCATGCATGATAAGCGTCCACATTACACCTCGTTCGTAAAAATTGGTACAGCGTTCTAGGAAGAGTTCCCTGCACACAAACATACTTGGGATGTGTTCCCTATTTTTGGAATAATCCAAAAAGCATCCGAAAATCGGGGCCGAGATGCGGCATTTGGAACGATCAGAAATGATTTTTGTTACAGTGAAGTCAATGGATCGGGCGACGTCACTTTATTTCAATGGCCGGAGATGCATGCAGTTATTGCAACAATGTAAATGATTAGAAACTCTGAAAAACAGATCCAAAGTTGACCTTAAACATCGGAAATGTTTAAATCTGAATATTGTTCCAGCTACATATGAGATAAGCAGCCTGTTACGTGTGTACGTTTATGTAACCACATCTCCAAATGCTGTTCGTGGAAGAGTAACATGACTTCATGAGAGCTTAACGGACAATTATTTAGCTCACTTTCTCCTCTTCCTAATTTAGTTCAGTTACCCCAATAAGTATAAGACTTCTTTTCCCAGCAAACTGTGCATAACACTGCACAATCCATGCAAATATTTAATTAACCACGTGTAAAGATCACAACCTGTGTTCTATTGGATTATGTACATCTTAAAATATATACATTAGGGTTAATCTTTCATCAATACATTTGTGCCATCAAAATATAAAGTTCATGAAAAAGGTTTTTGGGTTAGATCGCGTAAGTATAAATGTGTCGTAACCCTCCACCACCCGACACGGCCAATTAGTGAGGGATTTTTCACGTAAACAAACGCCAATTAGTTACTACTTCAGCCCACCGGTGTGTTGGAGAGTAAATGCACAACATATACAATTTTAGTACGACGTTTCGCTGATAATTACATCCAGCATCATCGGGCGATTTGCCAGAATAATAAGCAATCCACCTGCTTCCGGTGTTAAATAGTGCAGGATGATGTCATCACGGAACCAAATACTCTCAAACAAAACAGTCGGCAGTTGAAGAACATGCTTGCCAACAAGGACACTCAATTGATTCTGATAACGTTGAAGTGTTGTGTCAAACGAATTATTACTGGCCAAGAATAATTCCAGAAACCGTTGAAATTTAGAGAAATAAAAATATTCAAACCGCTCTGACAGCTACAGGCTTAGTGTAGCCTGGAAGCATATCAATATGTAATACATCTTACAATTACAATTCCTTATAGAGGAAACACATACTAATTCACTGATTACTAATCTATTATATAATTACAATAACGCCCCCCCATCCTCCTCCGCCTCTGATCTCTGCACCTGATTGGGTTCAGTGATTACGTCATTTAAGGCCGGAAGCAGGTGGATTGCTTTCACTCTTCTGGCAAATTGCCCGATGATGCTGGTTGTAATTAACAGTGAAACGTCGTACTACTCAAATTGTAAATGTTGTGGATTTACTCTCCAACACACCGGTGGGCTGAAGTAGTAACTAATTGACGTTTTGTTTACGTGAAAAATCCCTCACTAATTGGCTGTGTCAGGGGGTGGAGGGTTACGACACATTTATACTTACGCGAACTAACCCAAAAACTTTTATTATGAATAATATTGGTCACAAAAGCCTATGTGTTGAACCAAAATATAAAGTGTTTGGAAAAAAGTCTCAATATTTATATCATTATATTTAAGCAATAATTGAAGTGTAAATTTAGAACTCTGTGCCAAGAATGTAATGATTGGTGCTTCGAACTGAATTATAAAATTGTCACGACCTTGATGTGTGATGTACCTACCATTTGCTGTTCTCTAAAATGAAGGTGGAACGATGCAGAAAATCAGGAATGAATATACATTTAATCTCACGATGTACCTATCAAATTGTGTGTGTGTAAAAATGTATGGCAGTATAAATGGGTACACCAACACAATCGATTGGCAAGTGGTGCGGGGTGGGGTAAAGTGTGATTGCTCCCACCTCTTTCAAGATGTCTGGCCAACATGGAAGACTAGGCCAAAATACCCCCGAGAGGCGCTGTCTAACCCTTCATCGAGTAGAGGATCGTCTGCCAGCTGTTCCACAAGCAAGCAGTTACTTGTGTAACAGTTGTAGGTATTTTGTCCCTAGTTGGTTCACGTGCTCCCTGATTCATGAATCGAATCTCGATTCTGTTCGGGCCATGGATCATTACGCGTCTGATGAGGTTCGTTGTGGATTTATGTTTGCTTCATGTGTGGCATTCGGGTAACTTCCTTTGAAGGGCACGTGTGATTAGCTTACCGGAGTTTTGTAAATGCTAAAAATAAATGTTTTAAATTGTTTCCTCTATGTAAAAGCAGGTAATGCCCTTGATAATTTTTTAATTCTGGTTTTCAGCAAACTCCTCCGAGTGGGGACCTACCGCCCAAGGTGAAAAGGCCTGACTCTCCAGTTTATGCAAATCTTCAGGACCTAAAGGTGATGTCTGGAATTTTCATTTAACTTAATTTTTTGTGGGAAATTTTTAAATGAAAATAAACGGTCAATTGTCAATGTTGCTAGATGAAGGCCTCCCCCTTGCCATGTGTTGGGTATGGGGGTTGTTTGAATATATTTCACAATGCTAGCCAGCTTCTTCTGATGCGGTCGCATTTAGACACGATTAAATCCACAGCATTATTGCATGCTATATAAACAATAGACTGAGCCCTGACTCCAAAGTCCTGGATTAAAAGCGCATCTGCACATGACTCATTATTTAACACGATTCTTCTCTTCGTCTCTCTCTTCCTGTGCGAGCAGCTCATGTGTCCCACTACTTCCCTGCCACAGTCCACTGTTGCCGGAGGACAGATTTCCGGGGATGGCTGGGAAACACTCTTCGATGCAAAATCATCGAGACACTACTACTACAACCGTATCACGCGCGAGACCTCCTGGAAGCCGCCACGCAAGCAGGGCCGCGATCCTAAGTCTGACCAAAATGTATGTCCGAGCGTTGCGGTGGCGGAATGTCAATTCCCTCGCCTGGTATACAGGAGGTCGTGGGTTCAATCCTGACCCTTATGCATGTTCTCCCTGTGGTCGCGTGGATTTTTCTACAGGTCCTCCAGTTTTTCCCTTCACATTGATAAACAACGTGCTTTTAGAGTATTTGGCTGCCATAAATTACCATGTGATGATAAGCCACTTTGTTAAGCTATCATTTTTGATAGCCAGGTCGCTTCTGAAAAAGAGCTATTTAGCTCAGTGGGCCTGACCTCCTAAAATATATGTTTTAAAAATATTTTAATAGTTTAGTTTGTTTCTTTTCCACAATTTTATCCCGATAAGACACATAATACATTTGGATCTCTCAGAGCAGAGGCAACCCTTCATGTTATCGAATGGCCCGCAGAAGTGGATATTATAGAGCTACCTCTGAGATACCTGAAAATTACCTCTCCTGGTCCACACAATACGGGCAGCACTCTCCCTCTGGCCCTGTCAGCACATGACAGTCAAACCAATATGTTTAAGCCCCAGAGATGAAATTTAGCCATTTTAAGTCAGAGAACTGACAGTCTTTTGTGACTTGGGCTGAGATTGTCAACGTATAAAACTTGAGAAACCGTTTAATCACACTATTTGGTGATGGTGCATTGGCAAGCACGTTTAATTCAAACAAACTCAGGACATTCATCGATGGCTGTGCCTAAAAGGAAAAAAGTATATAACCGGTAAATAAATGTTGATGTGAAGAGTTATCGTGCACTCCCCCTGCCCACCCCACCCCCCTCTAGTTACGGACGGACAGACGGATGGACAGAACTAGTGCATAAGCACTGTAACCTTAGTTTGAAAAACGTAACAAATGTCACCATCATTTTTCTTGGTTCTTTCGGTAAAGTCATGAAGAATGGAAATAATTCAATTAATAAAAATAAAACAATAAGATAAAATTCTCACGACGTTTTGGCCACAACGCAAGCAGCCGTCCTCAGGTGAAGAACAGGTCTGTCGGAAAGACAGCGTCCTTCACCTGAGGACGGCTGCTTGCGTTGTGGCCGAAACGTCGTGAGAATTGTATCTTATTATGTTTTATTTTTTATTATTTTATTATTTCCCTTTTACGTGACTTTACCGAAAGAACCAAGAATATGAATCCATGCAGTCACGAAAGCTTTAAATCGAAATAATGACGGACGAGCCGTTACCACCATTGCCAAAAGAGGAGAGCAGTGAAGTTGTCTCGGACAGTGGTTACCTACCTGATTGTTGGGGGCGGTTTTTCGATGAAAATGGAGATGAATTTTACATACATCAGAGGTCACCGGTCAAGGTGAGGTTTGGTTTGTGGCACAAAAATTAAGACAAAGATCCCCCCCCCTCCCCCCTCATTTGAGGCTGGGTCGACCTAGGGGAGGCCCAGGACTGGTTCAGATAATCGTCTCGGATAATATTGGCCGTGAACGGGAATCGAACTGGGGTCACCGGGTTCGTAGCACAATGCGCTAACCACTACACTACTACTCGCTACAAAATACGACTGCTTCCCTACACTACCGTTTGTGGAACACACAGGCACATGCTACAAACCCAATACTGTTTACTACTGTAGGTTTTAGTGGCTGTGCCGTAGTACAGCTGTTGATGTGTTTAGGGCTGTACCGCATGTTGTCCGATGGTGTTTGCTAGGTGTTAATGAGTCACTTCTGTACAACATATGCAAAGCGAAAAAACAGGCAGCAGAAGGTTCTACATTATGAGAAGGAGAGCCTCGTGTAACAACGTCCATTGTAGGCATGTCCCTCTGTGCTCCAAGGTTTATGTTGCTCACCGTCATCAACCCGTACTGACTGGGAAGTTCCTAAATATCCCAGTGTAGGGCATCCTGGAAGAACAGGGGTTTTGAGAGTTAATACTAAGTGACACATTACTTGATAAATAAATAAAATTAATATTATTTAAAACACTACATACCAAAAGGGGTGGAATGGTGACGCAGTGATTGACGTACTACGCTATCAACCCCTCAGCCTGAGTTTGAATTCCGGTCACAGCTGAGATCAGAAGTGACTGATATATCAAGAAACAGCAGTGGCTCTGTCATGTGATGCGTTTCAATAACAGTGATTGTTTGTCTGCAGTGGTGGAAGTCCAAGGATGACACCGGTGAAGTTTACTACTACACCGAGGATGGGCGAACTGAATGGGAACTTCCAGAGGTTTGTGCGTGTGTGTGTTAATGAGTGGGGAGTGGTAGTGCAGCGATTAGCTCACGCTGCCCTTGCCCTACGAACCCGGCCACCCGAGTTCAATTCCTGCTCACAACCAACACCAGTGACAATTATCTGAATTGGTCTTGGGCCTCTCCTAGGTCGACTCGGCCTCAAATGAGCACTATGTGCGTTGTGTAATCATCGCCACTGGGGAGACGAAGGCGGCCGGGCGTGGTGCTGGCCACCCATCTCATCGTGTGCCGTGCCGGCCTTCATAGGTGTTGTTCACTCACAGAACCTGCCCCAACAGTCTGTTAAGGCCTTGTTCATGAGTAAATTAATTTATAACTGCTTGACATTCAATGCAAATGTGCACGCTGTTCAGCAGTTACGCGAGCATGCCTGCAGTGTGGGAAGCCCGAACAGTTTGACTTATTTGACTAGAAGAGGGCAGACCGTCCTTACAGGATGGGACTACGTGACACTCGCACGACACGCGATACCTGGCAGACATCTGCCACTCGCCCGACGCCAGCATGTGGCGAAGCAGTGGTCACCCAACTCCCGCGACCCACATGGTGTGGGGTGAGGCCCTCATCCAGCAGTGGATTGACAAATGGACATGGCGGCGACACACCTAAGTACGTCTTACATGCGCTTACATTTACAATGATGTGTTCCGCCCCCCCCCCCTCTTTTCTAGGATCCATCGGGATCAACCGGTGTCGAGTGGTCACCTGACCATGATCTTGCAAACACGGTCCCCGATCATAAAGTGTTGCCACCTACCCCACGTGCGAACGATGCACCTAGCCACAAGATTGACCATGAAACTAAGGTAAGGCTAAATGCTATTTAGCCCTCCGATGCGTTTCCGGGTTGTGCCGCCCGCGTGTTGCGTTCAGCACCATGTCTGACATTTCGCTGCGCGTCAATCTTGGCAAATGAGACTTATCCTTGGTCTCTTGCGTTCTGACCTTGTTGAACAAAAAATAAACTTTGAAAACTAGGAGCTCCCAACGCTGTTCTTTCGGAACAATGCGCGGTACAACCTGGTAATACGCGAAAACCTGTGTGGGTGGTGAAGATCAATGTTTGTTTTTTGTTGTGGTTTTATGTTTTCTATTTTTCAATCGAAATTATTTTGTTTGCAAGTGAAATGTCTTACCATGTTATTGCTCATAATGTACAAACAATGCTACCGTGTATCGTGTTTTTTATTTTTAAAAATCACATAATATACTCCATCCTTTACATAATTGAGTGAAGCTGGACGATTTTTTATGATATCCATGGTATTGAAAATAGTTTTTAAAGAGGAGGAAGATGAGAAAATCGTGTTATTTTAAATATTTCACTTATTGATCGGGAAATTAAAATAATGATCATATTCGCAGACATCTGTCTCAATCCACTATTCGGATGAAGACGTTCCCACGCTGTGTCAGTCATCAGGGTTATTTGACCTGACTTCCTGGTCGATGCGCATTGGTGAAGGGCGCGGCCAAGACTGACTGCTTCAGTATATCACGGTTTCACTGTTAGCCCTGACCAGGATTCTAACGCTTGCCCTGAATGTTAGCCATAGGCTCCGTATTGAACTCAGAAGTGATTGGCCTATATTTTGACTTTAAACTTTCGTGACTGCAGGAATTCATATTCTATGGTTCTTTCGGTAAAGACACGTAGATATAAAAAATGATGAAAAATATTCACTTTATTTATTATTCTTGATTTGAAGCTTTCGTGACTGCAGGAATCCAAACTCTTTGGTTCTTTAGGTAAAGTCACGTAGTTAGAAATAAATTAAAATAAAACAAATCACGACGTTTCGATCGCAACACAAGCGGTCATCATCAGGCAAAGGAGTCAGCCTCTAAAGGCAAACTGTTTAGAAAGGTTTGGAGATGGGCGTAGCCCAAGTGTATCAACAGCACCAGGAGCATGGGCGGTGCACAAGTGCCAATGCAGCAACAATGCCAATGCAGCAACAATGGCAATGTAGCAGCAATGCCAATGCAGCAACAATGGCAATGTAGCAGCAATGCCAATGCAGCAACAATGCCTACGTGACTTTACCGAAAGAACCATAGAATATGATTGGCCTATGATTTTGCTGGCCACTGCCAAGATAATGTAGAGTTTGTACCTCTGGCTAAGCGCCGTCAACAACAGAGATTATTCCATCCCCATTGTTTATTTGTGCGGGAAGAAATTTTGTTAGCACTTTGGTAGACACATTTTTATTGAAGTAAGCTCGGCAATTCTGTGAAAGATTGCGGGTAATTTGAAGCTGATTGAGGATGGAGTGTATTGTTTTTTGTTTAATTACTCCAATGAGTGTCATGGTTTGATTTGCTCTTTTTTTGTTTGTTGTACGGATCTCCATAATCTTTGTTGTGATCTACAAATGAACACGTGATTGACTATGATTGTGTGCAGTTGGGTGGGCACAAGAGAACACCTTCTGATCACAACTTGTGCAGCATTTCCGACCTGGCGCTCTCTCTGCCCGCCGTAAGCCTTCGATTTTCTCTTCGTGTCGGCAAATTCGTACGATGTTGCAGCTTCTGGTGGTTCCTTTCATGCTGCCATGAATTCTGAATTTTTTTTATGTGAAACAACAAATGAAGCATAGGATGTTTTAGTGCTTCAAGAGTTGGTCTGAATGTTTTAAAGTCTTATTTTATGAGTTAGTCAAATGTAGTCACCAGTGGGTAGCCCAGTGGGCTATGAACCTGGCTACCTGAATTTGATTTCTGGTGATTCCCGGTGAGTTGTGAGTTCTTTCTGTTCTGGTCCTAGTTCCGCACCTTCACTAACCCGCATTGACCAGCGTGGTGAAGTATGGCCAACTTTCCCCTCTCCCCCCATCCACACGGCTTGGGGAGGCTCTCATCCAGCATTGGATTGACAAGGGCTATACATTTTGGTTACCTTGATATTGCCCATTGTTGAAAAAGCGATATTTTGAATGAAGCAGAAAATATTATTTGAAAGTATTCATGCTGTGAATTGTTAAAATATTTCACTTTAAAATAAACATTTCAGGTCATTTAAAGCACTCGATCGATCATTCCACTTGTGAATGAAGGCCTGTCCACACCATCTCGAATGTGATATTTGTTTGACCATACTTCACCACGCTGGTCAGTGAGGGTTGGTGAAGGGAAGCCGAGAACCAGTGCTGCTTTCACTCGCCAGTGATGTTAGCCAAAGCTATGAATCAAACTCATCGTGTGGTGTGCTGACCACTGTGCCACCACTCCCCTCCCCTTTCAAGCAACTGGAACTAGTTTTAATTATTCATCATAATTATCACCGAAGAAGTAAGGCAATGTATCCAACAACCAGACTGTCTAAACACTAATTGGTTCCTACTTGACATTAAGTGAACACTGACTGGATCATTACAGTAAAAGCAAGACATTATTTTTAAATGCTGGAGAGTATTGTGGCAATGATAATTGGAGGTTCATAAATGTCGATGATGTAATTGTTTTTTTTGCAGAGAAGAGGTAAAAAAAACCGTGCAATTTTTTGTCCCCTTTAAAAACTCGAATTTTTTGTACATCTCACAGGGCCTTGAAAAGGCTGGCATGTTAAACAAAACCAAAATAACAGAGGGAGGCAAGAAGTTACGGTGAGTCAACATGGGTGCCGTTCATCTGTAAAACAGATGCCTGTTAAAGCACTGTATTCGAGTTTACGATTTCCAGCATGTAGTCAACTCAGCTGTATTATACGCACCACGATTTTTCATGTACACAGACCTTTTGTCAATGTACTGCTGGACGAGGGAACTCCCTCACACCACTCGAGTTGTGGGGGTTGATTGACTAGTTGACGTCTTGCCACGGTGGCGAGACATTAACTTCCTCGCCTGGTATACAGGAGGTCGTGGGTTCGATCCTGACCCTGACGCCAGTATATTTGCAGTTTGCGTGTCTCTCTCTCCCCGTGGTCGCGTGTATTTTTCTCCGGGTCCTCTGGTTTTTCACTCCACATTTAGAGACATGCGTTTAGAGTAATTGGCTGCTATACATTTCCACGTGATAAGCCACTTCCTTGAGCTAGCATTTGTGATAACCAGGTCGCTTCTGGAAACAAATATTATAGCTCGGTGCGCCTTATCTGGTAAAAGAAAAAGTATTTTGTTAGTTTTTTTTAGTTTATTTTAGTTTCACCATGCTGGTCGATGCGGGTTGGTGAAGGTGGTGGTAACAAAGACGTGGCAGTGTAGAATCACATAGAGTGCAGCACCCCCCCCAGCAGCCTGTGACTACCTGGCATGCATGGTGGGTCGCCCATCCAAGCACTTATCCGGCCTCAACCTCTTTGCTCAGCTTGCGAGTTCTGATGAGATATCGGGCGCGCTACGGGTGATTTGGTCGTAGGCATACGCAGGGATTTTGCATTTCAATACCACGTGTCCAGCTGGATGGCGCTGTGGTGTCACTCTTGGTTGGAATTTGACCCAGATCGTTATTCCTCTGGGGTCGATACAAAGAGTACAGTCGGCTCCACTTATAACGATACCCCTGGGAGTGAAAGGAAATACTGCTCCATCCAGAATGTCGATAGACATCAACCTTTCCAAAAAAAAATCAATAATTTGTGTTTTATATATGCTCAACAAAGTCGTGTAGGTGATCTGTCTGTCGTTTTGGTTTTCTGTTTGAATCATGCTTCAAATATATATGAAAAATTACCATTAAAAGTTATTGCAAAAATTAGAGTTTTGGTTTTCATGCACCTTCAGAAGCAGAGTTATTAAATTTGAGCGTTACATGTGGAGAAATTTTAATGTATATTAAAATAGGGCAAACATTAAGAATTGAACATAATGTCATTATATTATTATATACTGAATTATATTATCAAATGTACCACTTCGTGTAACGTCCAACAGTGGCTGTTTTATGGATGGACTGGCCCTTGCCATAGGAATGTGTGAACATTCCACATCCATTCCAATGCTCATTTGAGCATGGGAACGCGTGAATTTATTTTCCATTGTACATCTAAGCCATGCTGGGGCTGTGTCGAGCCAGCCCCGTCACGTCATGGGAGATACCACAGGGTTGTTATTTCTCCGCTGAATCCGGACCGTGCCGCTGACATGTCAAGCAGTGACGGAGATAATGTAACCCCGCTCCCGGTTCTGCTTGGCCCTGAATCAGATTGCGTCTTATTGGGCCAGCAAATCATGCTTTGGTTTGGTATTATATAGACCGTGTAAAATCACCCATGCAGCACACCTGTCAATCCCTTATCAGTGCTTACCTTATTCAAGAACAATTCAGACCTTATTGGTCACCCCGTGCCCCTTATAAATCTCAACGTTCATCCTTCAAAGTCGCATCACAAGAGAGAAACACAAACATCGACAAAAAATGTGTTTTGCCTGTATTGAAACGGCTGTTGTACGCAGTATGGACCTGAAAACTCAATTTCTCTGTACAAGAATACGGGGTAAACCGTATGGGTTGACAGCTATGACACAGTGACGGCCCCACAGATGTCCGGCTCAGATGTGCCGGTGATGAATGGTATTTAGACTTGACTTTTAACATGACAAGGCTAGCTCTGTGATGAAACGTTTTTTTTTTACGCTTCAGGAAGAACTGGACGAATGTGTGGGTGGTGTTGGTTGGACACGACCTTATCCTCTACAAGGATCCCAAGTCCCACACCGGATGGGTAAGCCCCACTCATAGGGTCATGGATGGGTCACATTCAAACCTGCCAAGATCGTTAACACTCATAATACAGTTTTTTTGGGTTAGATCGCGTAAACGTAAATGTGTCGTGAAACTCGCCACCACCCGACACAGCCGATTGGTAAGGTTTGTCATGGTAACGATACATGCCAATTGGTTACTAATACTGCACACCCGTGTGTTGGAGAGCAAATCCACAACATTTACAATCTTGAGTACGACGATTCGCCGAGAATTACAACTAGCTTCATCAGGCGGCAGCCAGAGTTGTGGAGAAATCCTCCCGTTTTGTTCCTTAAATAGAGGGATAGATGTGACGATGTCACTTGTGAGCCCTTCACGTCCGAGGGGGGGGGGGGGATTAATGAATGCATATACATTACAATGGGTATCCATTGCCGGTCTGGTTATTCATATGGTAATCAACTAACATTATGCATGCACGTTGTGTTCTTGTACCTCCTGTCGTTTGCGTGCAATAAAATAGCAGCCCCTGTTATTGTCTGCGTACACGTAATCCCCATTGATGTATGGTAACCTGTATAGGCATACATTTAAACAATGTATTATTTGATGATTCGCTTCCCCAAGCAACACTAAGCCTGTAGCTGTCCGAACAGTTAACACTGTCAAAGGAAATTATACAAATTATGTGGCGATGCTGCTGCATTTGCAGTGGTGCATAAGCACAATTAACAAAGATTCAACAGATTAATCAATAACACTACTTTATAGTAAAACATTTATATAATAGGTGACGTTTATGTGCTATGAATAAGGGCTATTTCGCGAAATGACACCCATTATATATTTTTCATTTTAAGGCCACAGTGCAATTGACGGATGTTGAGATTTTTCTTTGAAAATTATGTTCACTTTTGCACTTGAAATCGATAATTGCCTTACATTTCATACAAGTTACCTTCACCATCAGCTATGACCGATCCACTGCTGCACGAAGGCCTTCCCACGCCTCCGCCATCCGTAACCATTCCCCCTCCACGATGCTGCAATCTATCTGGCTCTTGTGTTGGTGGAATGATCACCGCCTGACAGAGCAAGCACCACTGGCTCGGTGGAAAGCAGTCGGTGGCAGCCTTACTTGGAGAATGGTCCCTGCCATAGGATCAAGGAGGGTGCGATTCCCGTTTTGGCTTGGTGGATCGCCCCGTCCTGGCGGAGGAGTTGATGATAAAACTCAAGGTCTAAGTGCTCCACCAAAGTTTAAATGGTTCTCTCCCGTTCATGTGAATTGTAGTTTGACACGTAGGCTTTTACGACCAATATTATCCATAATAGAGGTTTTGGGGTTAGATTGCGCAAATATAAATGTGTCGTCAAAGCCGCCACCACCCGACATAGCCAAAACAGCTCGTGAAACACACGCGAGTTAAACTCTAGTTCATGAAATCCAAAGGGTTTTTTTGCGACAACGACCACGCCGCAATCGTTTCATGGATACCAACGCTCTTGTTGGCGATATGAAGTTACGCAAACTACACAAGGACACGGTTTCCACGTACTCTTCAGGACGATGAGTTTGTTGTTGTTGACTTTGACAGAAACAAGGTGCATCGAACAGCAAACCCGAGTGCTGCATCGACCTCCGGGGGGCGCACATTGAGTGGACGCGAGACAAGTCCAGCAAGAAAAACGTGTGCCAGGTATAATCGTGAGATGGACTCTCTTGCCTCCTGTATCGCACTGCACGCACGCTGCACAAGCCGCTTCGTTTCGTCAGCCGAGTGGGTAGGCGGTGTAGTTTTGTTGCACGCAATCGAATAGTGATTCATTCTTCCGGGAGTAAAAAAGCAGGGATCTGTGATATCTATGATAAGAAACAGAATTAGAAGTGTGCTTGCTGAGTGAAGCCCATTGAGACGAGAAACTATTTTTCAAGGGCCTGTGACCTTTGATAGAAGTAAAAAACATGATGATTTTTTGACTGGCAATCAATGGTTTTATATATATCGCATTTTTAACATTTTAAACTTTTTCACATTCCCCTAATTTTATCATTTTTAGTGTCGGGAATAATTTACTAAAGTTACTACACATCCGGGTAACACTTTGAGGACAAATGTTGAAATTTCATTTTTTATTCAAACCACCTGCATGACAAACACTGACTCTCGACCGGGCCATGTGCGGGAGTGTGGTGGAATCGTAGCTGGTGTCGCAGGGCCCGCGAGGGATGGTAACGGTGTGTGGGAGGGGCGGGGGGGAGGGGCAGGGGGGAGGGGCAGGGGGGAGGGGCAGGGGGGAGGGGCAGGGGGAGGCTTTCATCCAGCAGTAGATAGACAATGGATGATTAATTTTTCTATTTAAAGCTTTCGTGACTGCAGGGATTCATATTCTTGGTTCTTTCCGTAAAGGCACGTAGAATGGAAATAATAAAATAATACAAATAAAACAGAGCTGTCTTTCTGACAACTCTGTTTCTTCACCTGAGGACGGCTGCTTGCGTTGTGGCCGAAACGTCGTGAGAATTTTATTTTGTTTTATTCTTATTATTTTATTCTTTCCTTTCTACGTGACTTTACTGAAAGAACCAAGAATATGAAAAAATGGATGATGAGCTTAGGAATACAGCCGCCCCGCACCTCTCGCAGTTATTTATAACAAAGCAAAACCCACCAATTCTTGCTACAGTGGTGAGGTCTCCCGCGTGCTGTTTGTTAATTTCCATATGACCACAGTTTATAGTTCTCGAGCAAAACTTTTACTGCTGTGTCAGTGCAGTAAACTGTATTTAATTATAACAGTGTTTTAATGCGTACCTTTTTGACCCCTTATTTGCAACATCAAAAATAGTGTTGCATGACTTTTACCTTCACGTGCTCAACGCGCCTTTGATTTGTATCACAAAAGTGGGATTGAGTGATGGCACATTAGTTGGTGCATCACACTATGAACCCAGTGACCCGAGTTTGATTTCCGGCCATGGCTAATATTGATAACACTGGTCAACACACTTTTTCTGGCATAAGGTATTTCAACGGTTTTAATGTAATTTTGGGGTGCTGATTCCAAATCTGGCATCAGTTTTTGTCTATCACATCAGGTTTTTGAGATATCAAATATTGCATTTTCAATCAAAACTGCAGAAGAAAAATATTAAATAAATGTGGATATCTACATAAAATGATATTATAAACACACTATCCTAAAAATACAGCACCATATTTTAACACTAAAGCAGCCACTGACTCGCAACAACTTGCAATCATAAGTGACAGAGTTAATTTCGGGTAAAATCAATGAAAATGGGGTATGCCGATAGCATAAAAATGAGATGTGATAGAGCAAATCTGAGATCAGATTTGGAATCAGCACCCTGAAATTAGTCGAAAACAGCTGCAAAAGTCCAGGCCAGATTTTTTTTTGTTGACCAGTGTAATGAGTGATACTGAAGTGGTTCTGGGATCTCCGCTTCTCCAGCCTGCACTGATCAACGTGGTAATGTACGTACGGTCAAACGTATCCCCAGGAATGAGGATTTTTTTACCACTTGCTCGGGGCTGTGAATGGGAGATTAACACCAACCTCATTGTTCATTGAGAAAGAAGTCACTTTGAATTAACTCTCACTTCCCTAAAACACAAGTTGCAGGGATTCTTGGGAAACTCCCTGCCTCCCCACACATCGTCCAGCAGTACAAGGCATTTACATCTTGTGTGATTGTAACACTTGCCCATATCGATGGAGTTCAAGCGACTGCTTTTAAATTGCAAACATTTTCCTTGCGGCGTTGAGCTTGGTGCTCAGGGTGTTTTAAATTAACTAATAATATCAGCCTTGGTGGGGCACTGGAATAGTGTCCCGGATAGTTTAAGGACCGTTGATGAGATTTGTATTTTATTTATTTATAGATTAAAAAAAAATAGTATATAGGTTTCGATTTAAAGCTTTCGTGACTGCAGGGATTCATATTCTTGGTTCTTTCGGTTAAGTCACGTAGAAGGGAAATAGTATATATGTTTTATATCAATATTATTTTATTATTTCCCTTCTACGTCACTTTACCGAAAGAACCAAGAATATAGTATATATGTTGTTTGTATGTCAATTGTGATTCTTAAATATATTATTGTTAATTTTGATGTTAGGTTACTCACACTTCGTCTGTGCTCTTCAGTTGCCTGGGTGAATAGTGGGCTCGGTTTTATCCAGATCTTGGCCAGCTGGCGCAAATTCTTTTTGACAAATTAGTGAATGAAAGAAAATTGTGCGTGAAGGTGAGATGTTCAAGGTAATTCTCCTGTTTCCACCTGCAGCTCACAGTGTCTGGAGCCAACGAATTCCTCCTCCAGTCCGACAACGACCACACGATGCAGGAGTGGTACCAGTCCATCCGATCCCTGATCGCCAGGCTGGTACGTCAGGACTTCTTCAAACACTTTCCCCATCCTGTTCTGTCGCTGATCATTTGTAATATCACAGTGAGCATTAAAAATACCATACCTGCTTGGATGGCGGAGGTGGGGAGTGTAGACATGGGAGCATAGAAGCACAGTACAACGATGGATTGTTTGCGCTGCTCCCTGCTGTGCGACCTATGTGACAACCTGTGCACGGTGGTATTCTATCCAAGCATTGTCCAGGCTCAAACCTGCTTAAGCTACCGAGATCCAATGCGATGGAGCGTGTTCCAGGTGATTCGGTCATAAGCAGTCCGTCAAAGGCAGAAGAACCTGGACATTAACCAGGGGATAGAGAGTTATCATCACTGTCGACCATCCGTTCTAACGATCGTAATTAACCATAGATTTTTTTTTGGGGGGTTAGATTGTGTAAATATAAATGTGTCGTTAATTGTAAATGTCGTGGGTTTTATTCTCCAACACATCGGTGTGCTGAATGTTTTGTTTACGTGACAAACCTGACTAATTGGCTGTGCCGTCTGGTGGTGGCGGTTCTAACGACGCATATTTACGTCATCTAACCCAAAAAAAACCCTCTTAGATGGATAATATTGGTAGCGGAAGCCTACTACGTGTTGAACTGATTGTAATTCAACTTCCAATGCAGGATAAAGACACGCCGGTGCCAACCCCTGAAGAGCAGCGGAGGGGAATCCCGAAGCCGGGTGCGGCGCCGGCGTCGTCCTCTGCCCCCGGAGCCAGCACGCCCGACGATGGAGACGTCAGCGGAGACGACGAGCCGTACGAACCGAGCTTGAGAGACAAGAAGGATCAGCGAGACTCCCGCAAGGGCCATGGTGAGACCGGCCGGACGCACGCCCGCGACCGCCGACTGCGGTTCCCCCGCTTGCTGCGCGATCGCTCGTTTGTGAAACTCGGGAGAGTCTGCGTCGTTTGTACGTGTGCGTGTTGTTGAGCCTCTGTCGCACAATACGTAGCCGACCGCGCTAATCGGAGGTGCCGTTGTGCCAGTGTGATCAAGAGCCCAAAAATAGCAAGCGAGGTACATTCCGAGATGGAGATGTGGTGGAAAGTCGAAAGTTTAACCCAACGTGGATTCGTCTTTTAATGATCAGTTCCGATGCACTACCGTTCGAGATTATAACATGAAAATCGGCCCACATTCGTCAACAACACTGTGGCCTTAAAGGGAAAATGTAGGCGACGTTCTCGGCAATGGACCTTCTGCATAGCACATACCTCGTTATGGCACGTAACACGTGTGGTAGGAAGAAGGCCATTGCCCGAAACGTTGCCTATCATGTATATTTTAACTTTGAGGCAGTGTTGTTGATGAATGAGTTTTTTTGTTATTTGCAGCCTGTTAAAAGACAACGATCCCCCAAATAGCCTTGACAGACTCGTGGGGCATGCGGGGATAGCGTGGCCAACACCCCGCCCAGCCGCCTTTGTCTCATTTGCGTGGTGTGGGGTGGTGTAGCGTAGTGTGGCGTGGTGCGATGTTTACATGCCGTACCAAGTACTCGTTTATGGCTGCGACGACCTAGTGGAGACCCAGGACCAGTTGGTACATCACTTGCCACTGACGTTAGCCATGGTCCGAATATGAACGCTTGTAATATTGATAGTGCGGTGCATTAACCACTGCACCACCACTCTCCATACAAAGATCCCATCTGTGTAGCCATAACAGAGCCTTGGGGCAAGTGCTGTTAGCGAGCGCCTGTCAATGCCGGCACGACACGAGAAGGTGGGTGGCCAGCACCACGGCTGGCGAGGCTGAGTCGACCTGGGGGGGGGGGGGGGTTTAGGAGTGGGGCGGGCCCAGGATCGGTTCAGATGGTCAACGGAAATCGAGCTCGGGTTACTGGGTTCATCGGGCAGTGCGCGAACCACTGCGCCTCTTGTCAAATAATTTGTTCGGGATTATAGCGCCCTCCACTGATCATTCTACAAAAAAGCACTTGCAGGGTACAGTTACATTTCCTCCGTTATATTTGCAGTTGGACTTTAAAACACCCTGTGTACCCCTGCTGTGTAACTTCACCAGTCCCATGAAAATATGCTTCCCAGTACTCGTAAAGATTCACGTGTAAGTTGAGCTGTTTTACAAAGATTGTGCAGAAACTGCATCTGTTTTTGTTTTCATTGTCGGGTAAGGTGCTATTATTATTATTGTTCTTATTAAGGCATTGCACGTCACATTTCAAGTTAAAAGCTTTGCTTTGCTGGCCAAACGTTAGATCACGGTTGTGCAATCGACTTGTGTTTTAAAATTAATGATAATAAATCACCTTACTACGATGATGACGTGTCACAGGTGAAGATCAATTCAAATTGTGCTAATTGCTTTTCAGTGGCCAGATAAAATTAAAATATGCTGTACAATTTTAGTTCTTTTAACAGTGGATGATTCTGTTACAGATACCCTGTGTCCTGAGCACATGAATATTCTAATGACATTAATGTTCTGATTACAGCCAATGAGATATCTGATAAGAAGAGGAGCCGCTTAAGAAAGTTAATCACACGGCGACCCACTCTGCAGACACTCAAAGACAAAGGCTACATTAAAGGTATTTTCCTTTTCGCACCGTACGTAGCCAAACGTGCTATTCCAAGGTGCGGGAAAGGACAACAACCTGAACGCGAAAAGCAGTTATAAAGAAATTAGTTTTTCAATCTATATATAAAACTGCATAAATCCAGTGGCTTCCTAATATCGGAAGGAAGAGCATTCCAGACGGCCGCAGAAGTGCATCTCAAAGCGCTCGACGCAGTGACCGTTTTTGTTGGCTCGCCAAATGCCGCTGATGGCTTAACATCATCATTTTCAGCCATGATCAACCCACTGCTGGATGAAGGCCTCCCTACGCTACAACCACCTCTCATGGTTCTGCGATGAAACATTCCACGTAGCACCCGCACGCGAGATTATTCCATCGCTCCATCTCCTCGGTGGAAGATGCTCATGGACACGTTCCATCCGTTGGCTGCCACTTTATCACAATTATATAGTTCACCGTGCTGGTCAGTGCGAAATTAGTGAAGGTTGAGGGAGTCCAGAACAAGTTCAGATGTCACTCGACGCTCAATGTTAGCTGTGGCAGGGGATCCAACTCAGGTCGCACCCCTGATGAGCACGGTTGGCAGATCCTAGCACGTCCGAGTTGGCTTTCATTCAGCTTGTCTGAGACGGATACATGGGTACAACTTTTCTCCTTCCATCTTCATCTCTTCATTTGTTAACCCAACCCAGTCTTGTGACCTCCACCCCCTCGATCCATCTTGCCATTCTCACTTCTGCGGTGCACAACATCTGCTCCACCCTGGTTTGTAACCCCCTACGGCCCATTGGGCAGTGGAGTTTATTAAGCCCATTCTCATCCCGTCGATCGATCGTGTGTTTGCAGAGCAAGTGTTTGGCTGTCCCCTGGCGTGTTTGTGCGAACGGGAGAACTCCATGGTGCCGTTATTCGTGAGGATGTGCATCGAGGCCATTGAGAGACGAGGTGAGTCGCTCTGGAGAGGAGTGTGGTCTTTTGTGCACAAGCACAGCCATGTTTTTGTTGATCCACTGCTGGATGAGAGCCTGTTCATGCCATGCGAGTCGTGGCAGTGTTATTGGGCTATATTTCACCATGCTGGTCCAGGTCGATTTGAGCATAGACCCAAGATACAAGTTGCGGCATAACAATAATAATTGTCGTCGATTAAATTATTTTCTTTCATCGTGGTAAATGTACAGTAGCACCTCCGATGGCTGAAGAGGTTACATTGCATACAATATCTACACACGTGCACAATCCACTGCTGGATGAAGGCCTATCCCCTCCGTGTGAGTAATCTAGGTGTTTAAAACCGTACTTCATCATGCTGATGAGTGCAGATTGCGAGTGGCAGAACTACTGATATCGATATCACTCGCCATTGATGTTTAGCCATGGATTACCAGCTGCACCACCACATTATGTAAACATTGCCTGTCACTTTACCAACGATTTCTGTCCAGTTTACTGAATGGTACAAATGATTCCGAGTTAAGACGTCGAAAAAGCAGTATCAACTAACAGAACTAATGAAAACTGTGTGCTTTCTCTGAAGTGACGAATATCACTTGCTATGTTTGTACTGCCATTGTTAGGGTTGGAGATTGACGGTGTGTACAGAGTGAGTGGGAACCAGGCCACGATACAGAAACTGCGCATCATGGTGGATCATGGTAGGTATCAGCACTGGTCAGCATTATCATTTCTAACCAACCTTGATTAATTTATGAATTCTTCACACATAGTCAGCGAATGACTGTTGTGCCAAACGTGCGACCTCTTGCGGTCAGTGTTCGCGAAAACTGCTCTTGGCTGCCATACACCGGCGTCTCGAGTGATTTGTGTGATCCATGGATGACGGTGGGTGGGGGGAGGGGGGGCGACCACGGGGGCGGCACGAATCTTTTGAGCGTCATGGTTCTCACTTCGAACGTCAGCCGCCAACTGAAGTGCACAATTTCAACCACCTTCGTATTTAAATAAAGCTACCGTGGTGGACTGCTGTGATGGTCACGGCTGCTATGAAATTACATGAAAACTAACGAACACATTTGGGGGATTCCTTTAACTCCTTATAATCACGTAATTTTTTCTGTCTACGTGGCTTTACCGAAAGACCCAAAGAATAATAAAAATATAATTCATTTGTTTTGGTATCGCTTTAAACAACACGTGCACGAGAGGATTAAACTCGGTGCCAAGCTCTAGTGCGCACAGCCTTCACTTTACATGTGGGCAGTTGCCAAGCCTTTGTTTAACAAACACACACACACACTAAATACCACCTTTAAAGTTTAACAATAAACCGTTAGCGTGGAACCCATTATGCATATAACGATTCGACAGCCTGAGAATTAATTTGTCTCAACCCAGGGCCACTGCTCGATTCGAGTTTTGATTTCAACAAAAAAAAAGTAGTTTAGAATTTGCCTCTCTTCACCGCAGGAGGCCCATCGTCATCCTCTGCAGTCATGAACCTGACTCCCGTGCTTGGCACGCCAGAAGCTGATGTAAAACAAGGTCATGGTCACGATTCCAGGATCATATTTTGTCACGCGGTGGTTAACGTGCCGTTGGCATGGCCCCCAGCGGTAGCGCGTTCAAATCCAGCGGGCCACCCTTATTAATCCTGCGTTGTGTGTATTCACCGTAATAATGCTACTCGCAGTCCGCTTCACAGTGGACGTTAAAGATTCTCCCCAACGTCATTCGAAGGGTTAGGCCCATTGTGTGCCCAGCATCAGGGATCAGGGTCCAAATTTGCTAACGTTTGAAAAAACACCTGCAAAGGAATTATACATAGCATACATAGCAACCATCGTGCCTTCTTGGAAGACTAATGCGCCTTATCGCTTCTGGTCACAGAGTTCTCACCTGGTGAAACAAAATAAACATCGTGGTGAATGTGCCTGTAGTGACTGCAGGGATACACAAAAACAATGACACGTCCAAATGTAAATTAATTAAATCTCTCGCGCACAATTAGATGAATTGTCCGATTAACCAACATAAAATCACCAAGGCAGGAACAGACAACTGTCATAGAAACAAACGAGAGAAACTATATTCCCCCAGGCTTACTTAAACTAAACTAAACTTTTTGATTATTTTAAACTATTACATTTTATCATGTGAGGCCCACTGAGCTATATAGCTCGTATTCAGATGCAGCCTTGGCTACAAATGATAGCTCAACGAAGTGGCTTATCACGTGCAAATTGATAGCAGTAGCCAAATGCTCTGAACGCGTGTTGATTCTAAATGTGGAGGGAAAAACCGCGGGACCCGGTGAAAAATCCACGTGACCACAGGGCGAGAGACATGAAAACTCCAAATTCGAGGTGTTAGGATCTGGATCAAATCCACGACCTCCTGGTATACCAGGCGAGGTATTTAAACGCACGTTGATTTTACTCGTATTGCTGTTCTGCTTTTGAATGCCCAGTAAAGTCCCCCCCCCCTCCCCACGCCACCAACTAATTAGTCTCCCATTTCTCCACCCTCTCGCAGACGAGCACGTGGACCTGGACGACAGCCAATGGGAGGACATCAACGTTATCACGGGCGCTCTCAAGCTCTTCTTCCGCGAACTTCCCGAGCCACTCGTCCCCTACATCTTCTTTGAACAGTTCATCGCCGCCATAAGTAAGCTGCCGTTTCTATAATAATCGTGCCACTCCACGGTGAATGTAGGTTTGGGTGGGGGGGGGTGCTGGGACGGTGTAACGTGGGCGAGTCGACGGAAAATCTGGGGAAAAACCACAGATTTGGTTTTTCCCCAACTCTGTGCACGTTGTTATAGTGTGAAATTGTTGTTTTTTCCCCCATGCAGAAGGATTCAATGGTGGGCATTGTAACTGCATTAAAATAATACCCTTCCGATGTTACGATGTCAGGAAGCCACTGGAGCTATATGCACTTTTATATTTAGATTGACAACCGATTCGTTGAACTATTTTTTTTGGTGTTTAGTTTGTTGTCTTTCCCCCGCACCTGATCGTAAATGCGAATCCATGTTCGATAAAACTTTCGACTTTCCACTGCATTTCTATCTCGCAGTGGGGAATGCTGTTTTTGGGCTCTTGCTCACTGGCTCACCGGATGGTGAGCTATGTATGGTGCAAAAGAAGTTCAAGATACATATGCACAAAACTCCTTTTTATCGGTGACGAAGTGGGCAGATCTCATCGTTGCAGATAGGCAAATTGTAGATACGTTTTCTTTTTATTATCCACAGGAATTAGCTTTATTATTATCTGTGACTTCCAATAATCGCACATAAGAGGGTGCATTTGAGCGAGCGGTACAGTGTAGTGTAGTGTGCTTACTATATCTCCAGCTGCTTGCGGAGATGACATTTTAAACCTCGTCGAACATCTTCCTTTTCTATCACCAACTTCATCGTCGTCATCATAATCTTGAAAAACGTTTTAGCTGATGAATTAACACTTACCGAGCCCAATCCATTGAAAGCACCTTTGACAGTCGTATTGATATCCTTAAGCACCTCCGCAGTAATGTGCACGCTGCCATTGACCCACACTCTTAGTAATTCCCACTTTTTGGGTCATTTTATAATTTTGGCAGATTTGGGTCACGAGGTCCCAGACACGCGTGAATAATAGGCCGCAATTGCAGTGATATCATAGATCCTTTTAACGTTCACCTCTGAGCAGAAAGGTGCGCCGTGGTGTACAAGGCATTGGCCATGCGAGGGTGGAATTTAAACCTTTGAGCCTTCGCAATATGCTTAATTGTCAAACGTGCTAACGAATTGGGCTGTCTGCTGCCCCCCCTCCCCCCCGTGTACAGCATGAATCAGTTTCGTTTAGTGTTCAAGGGCGCCAGACCTTGTCTTCGTGGGAGCTGCACTGTACTATCAGGCTGGGTCCTGGGGGCTATCTGCTGTGTTTGGAGTGCGCGTGTGCGCGTGCGTTTTGATGTGTGGAGAGTGGGGGAGCGGTAGTGCGCCATGGTGGTGAAATGTTAACTACCTCGCCTGGTATTCAGGAGGTTGTGAGTTCGATTCCGATGCTGACACCTGCTGTGTATTTGCACTTTGCATGTCTCTCTCACCGTGGTTGCGTGGGTTTTCTCCGGGTTTGCCCTCCACATTTAGAATCAATGTGCGTTTAGATTATTTGGCTGCTACAAATTTCCACATGATAAGCCACTTTGTTGAGCTATCATTTAAGGTCAGGTCGCATTTGAAACATAGCTACATAGGTCAGTGGGCCTTACCTCGTATAATAAAAAGTTGTTTTGCAATACGTTTTTTAACCCAGCTACCCGAGTTCGAATCCCAGTCCTGGCCTCCCCCCTAGGTCGACTCAGCCTGAAATTATCACCAGTGCAGTGTGTAAATATTTTTGCTAGGGAGACCAAGGTTAGAGTGCTAGCCACCCACCCCCTCGTGTGCCGTGTCAGCCTTTACAGGTGCTCGCTAACAGCACTTGTGCCAAAAGTTTTTTAATGTTATACGGAGGGGGTCTTTGTCTTTGTATGGAGAGTGGTGGTGCAGTGGTTAACACACCGCACTGAATATTACAACACCCGTTCATATCCGGATCATGACTAATGCCAGTGGCAAGTGATATCCGAAACTAGTCCTGGGTCTCCACTAGGTCGATGCAGCCATAAATGGGTACCTGGTACGGCATGTAAACATCAGCACTGAGGAGACAAAGGTGGTTGGGTGGGATGTTGGCCATGCTATATCCCCACATGAGTTGGTCTGGCCTTGATAGGTGCTAACACCATTTACCGTTAGTCTTGGCAGAGGTGGGATATCCACACTTTACTACCATCACATGCAACCTACCGATTGACTGTGGTAAAGCCATTTCCACTGCTGGCTGGATAAAGGTGGATGAGGTTTTAATAAATTTTGCCATTGTTGTTTCAACTGCTCGACCGGGAGATCGAATGGAACCCGCGACCTCTGGATTGCAAGCCCAGTTGTTTAACCATTACACCACGGCAACATCCAGAGTGAAAAGCCCCGCTCTTTCAGATAACTGATGTGTGGCAGTGCCTCCGTTTTCCCTTCAGGCACCTGCTGTAGGTACAAGCTGCCTTTTACTCTTGTGGGCATTATGGAAAGCGAGGCACACACCTCAGGTCTGGTTTTAAACCACTGCCTTAGCATAGAAGATCACAAGTTGAGATGTTTTTGCTTTGTTGTTGTTGGTGGTGGCTGCTGGGGCATACAACAGCTGTGGGACATTTCTACCAAGTTAATAAGCCACTTTGCTTTGTTGTTTGATCGAACATGAGAGACAATGATCTGCCCCACAACTTGGAATGTCAGTTGGCCCACGGCTCCATATTGATCTCGCCAACATTTCTAAGAAATGGCTGCAAGTAGCATTTTTCTCTCCGGGGTAAATAATTCATGGCTGTTCTGACCAGTAGCTTCCCTTAGTGTATCGAGTGGTCTATGAAGTACGTTAAGCCAAGGCCATTCAGATTTCTCAATGTTCATATTTAAAGCGTGATACATGTTTTGTTTTTCAGAAATCTTCGAATACCATAACCGGGTGAAATGCATGAAGGATCTCATCAATATTCTTCCATTGCCAAACCATAACACCATGAAGTTTCTCATCAGGCACCTAAAGACGTAAGTGTAAACTCCAAGCACCTCCGATTAGCATGGTTGGCTACGTAGGGTGCGAAAAAAGTTCTTAATACATACAAGCTGAAGTGGCTGTTGTATTAATAGCCATGCTTCAAACTGAATTTTTCCTCCAACTCTGAGTTTTGTTTAACACCAGCATATATTTAAATAGTATTTTACTTTATAGTAAAAATTACATCGGCTTATAGATGATAAAAAACTATATCAATTTAAATTAAGATGCAATATTTTATATGATATCATAATTCACGCAAGATGCATTGAAAGTTGACATTGAAGAAGCTGCCATTGTGCGGAGCAGAAACGTAGGACGTTGCCATGAAGAACACGTGGTACAACCCGAAGACACATCGAAGAGATACGCAGCACAGTCTCCCGGACATCTGTGAAAAGAACTCTATAGCTCATCGGATTCCTCCAGTATAAATCTCGCGATTCTGATCCTAACAATCGGCAACGACGCTTTCGCGGTGGTGCGAGGAGACATTTCCCACGCGCCCCCTGCGAGATTTCACCACTGAGACGTTCTCCCCGTGTCTGCACAGGGTGGTGGCGCACGGGGAGAAGAACCGCATGACCATGCAGAACATGGCCATCGTGTTTGCGCCCACGCTGCTGCGGCCCGAGGTGGACCCGGGGAACATGGCCGTGCACATGGTCTATCAGAACCAGATCGTGGATCTCATCCTCGGGGAGTGCGACAACATCTTCGGGACGGACTGAGTGCGAGGCGGCTTGCAAACCCCTCTGGGTCCCCGACGACTGCGCGTGGGGCGAGAGAGAAGCGTCTTCAGCGAGCGCCAGCTTTGCTACAAACAAAATGCGTCAATTCATGAAACATTGGCACGTAAACGTTTTTTTGTTAATGCCTGCGCTGCCTGTGTTAAAAAAATGCAGAAGACTTGAGGATTTAAGGATAAGGGTTTGCTTTTTTAGGGAGCTTCAGCGCTTCAGCAGGCAACTCAAAAGAGACTTGCATTTCATCTCCAACATTTCGCAATGCCCTGCTGCAACCTCGGCAAGGGAAGCCCTCCCGGTGGTAGCTTGTCCCTGTACGGTACTCTGTGTACGCGGCACCGGCCTGCAATCCGCATTTACAGATACATCCTTCTGTGTGTTTTTCACGTGTGTGTATTATAGTAGAGACCGAGTTGCATTGGCGGAGAGCAATGCCGATCGACGTTGATCAGCCCGGTGTACAGAAATCGCCACGTTGTACGCATGAATCACACCAGGGATAAGGAAAAGCATGCAAGCTGACGAGTTTGTATATATTACTGAAATCTTCTAGTGTTCTAGAAGAGTGCCAGCATTCATCCAGTCACATCATTCCTGGTGTGTGTGCGCGTGTGTCGTCGGTTTTGTCTTGCTCTACGATAGTTTCATTTCTATACAGAAGTCTGCATGTTGCACATTTTGCAGATATGCCTGTGACCAAATTCCCCGGAATGTGTGCCTGATCTTGTCAGGTCGATGATAAGCTGAGCAAAGCTTGAGTTTGGGATAATGCTCGGACAAAGTGACCATCACACATGAACCATGCGTTGTAGGACGCTATGGGGCTAGGTTGTGAGCAGAGGGCAGTGCAGCAATATGCACTGCTGTACTGCGCTGTAACGTCTTATGCTTTCACAATCCATACCCCGAGTGGTGAAGTATGGTCAATTAAGCCCCTCCATAGCGGTGGGATTGACAAAAGGGCTGTACATATGCATTAACTGTGCTTAAGGCAATTAGCCTGGGTGGTGTAATGGTGAGTGTGCGGTTCGTTATCATTAGCTTGTAAGTTTTGAGTCCAGGTCAGGGGAGGGTGGGGGGGGAGCGGGGTGGGGGTATGGATAAAATGGTTACCACTGTGGCAAATCGGCAGTGCATGCAAAGATGTATTTATTATTACACTCAAATACAATCATCGAATTGCGCATGGTAAAAATTGTTTATAATGTATGAAAACTCTATGCTAATTTGAGACTTAAACCTAATGAGAATGTACAAACGAGACTTGGTAATGCATAGATGGTCAAAATGAGACGGAAACAATTGATTTATCAAATGAAATCGCGATCCTGAATTGTGGGAAACATTGAATCAAGTTTGGGGGACGATTCATTACATGCCTGGTGTGTTTGTTTTTATACCTCCCAGAGAAATGTTAAACCTGCCATAGCAATATAGCAGATATAACAGAAATATGGCAGGTATAGAAATATGGAATTCTCACCACTGGCTGATGGTTGTCAACAGGAAATGAGTGCTTACTCTTTGCTCATTTGAGTAGAAAACGATGGACAATTCGTGCTAGGTAGGTTTATCCTTTGCTAAGAAGATTCAAAGGTTCGATTAAAAAAAATTCTCAGTATAAGATGTAAAATTATTGACGAAAACAATGCAGGAAAAGTACCAACCTTAAAACGATTGACTTTTGATTAATCAGATTTACAATTCCTTTTTGGAGTTTAGCTTTTTTAAAAGTCTTCATAAAAAGTATATATATAAACGTATTGGAATGTTTATACAGTATTTTGCCATACGTGGTGTTATCCCGCAAATTGCATGTATTTAATACTTTGACCTTTCGGTGGACTAATTTTGTCAGCTAGTGGTCAACGTCACCGGTCACGGACTTCTTTTCGATTGTATATTTTCATTTGCAACTTTTTGTTGTCGTCGCTGAAGCTTGCTGGGGTTTTATGACCAAATCTATGCTTTTGTATCCCGAAGCAAAAACTTTGTACATACTAGACATGAGCGTCAGATTTTCAAGGACAATTTAGATCTTCTTGGTTCTTTCGGTAAAGTCACGTAGAATGGAAATAATAAAATATTAAAAATAAAACACAAAATTATTCTCACGACGTGGGGAAAATAAGCAGGTGGTGTAAATGTGATGCCATTTCCTGTGACGGTATGCATTCTGGGTTATTTGGGAACAATTATTTTCCCCATCAAGTATCTGCACCTGATTTTCGGATTTTGTTGCATCAATTCAAAAATCGGGAGGACATTCAGCACATACAGTGCCCGGGTATCTGTTGCTTAGCGTGCTTGTAATAATTGCTGCAGTATTTTTCTCACAAGACACATTTACAAGAGTTTATTGCGACAGATTAAAAACAAAATACAGTAACTGGAACATTTGTGAAAGACATTTCTTGTACATTGTCTATAACACTGGTTTTTTTTCGTTCACGTTGAAAATGTAAAAGGTGTTAAAACAGAATTCCTGAAATCATTCCTTTTTTCGGTCCTAGGCCATGCGTGTGATTTCTTGGCGTCGTTAACATATTTGAAATTAGCAGTATTTTGCCAGTTTATTAAAGATGTCAACCCAGTCACACTGAAGACTCCTGCGGTGTCTGCTATTTCTATGTTGTACAGCCCTCCTATCTAAACGCTGGCCTGGCTTGGGGTTTAATACTAAACGTGGAACGTGTTGTGCTCGGTTTAAAAAACGTTTCGCTCCCGATGCAAGCATCAATACATTTCGATTCGCATTGTAATAGATTTACATGAACCTTCCAGCCGCTAGAGGCTGCTACATTCAAGATGTAGGAAAATACATTCTTTAATTAATTGATCCTGAAGTGCGACGATTCATTCACATTCCACCCCTGGTGTTTAGCAATGACAATGCAATTTGTAACACAGATGGCCACGACGCTGAGGTCCGGAGCAAAGCCAGCTGAATGAGGTGGGTCCTTTAATAACATGGTGGGGGCCTTTACCTTCTCTGAACCCTGGAATCTGAAGACATTTGAAAATAAAATAAGTTGATCACTTACATCTTCTGGTCAGAAGACGTTACCCAGCCTCCCACAAGGCAATGTGGGAGGGCGTGTGGCACAGCTTGGCACCAGCCATCGTAGAGTGCGGTCGTGTCGCTGCAGTTCTCTGCGGCGCTACGCCTCTGTCTTTAAAAACAACGGTGCTACGCCTCTCTAAATGAAACTCATGCCAACCGCTTGCACGTTCGGAGATTCAGCGGTGAACGGGGGATACCCACCCTGCAACTCGCAGACGTCTCGGAAGGGAAAGGGTTCCGGGTAGGTGTTGACTAAACGCTGCTGCGAATGTGGCAGTGGGATGGCATTCCAGACGCCGGGCGGTGATGGTCCTGGTCCTGGTCCTTGGTATAGAGAGGAGGTTGTGAGTTGAGCTGCGGACAGAACTTGTTGGGCACTTGCACTTTGGAGGCAAGGGTTGCTGGTCCATGTAAAATCGTAAAACTGCCAAGTTTCCAGGAGATTGCAAGTACAGCAAATAGATTATCGCTTCCATCTGTGTAGGGCTTTGTTATGCCCTTGTATGCATGGTTATGTCCAGGCACCCTGGCTAACTGTGGTAGACCAAAAGCCCCTCCTGTGAAAAAGTCTTCAGTGATGTAGAGGCTTTTTTTGGATATTATTATTATTACTAACGCAAACGAAGAGTCACTCCGAGGGGGATGCAGAGTCCACTTGCCGCCCGTCCGTTGCAAGTGCAGCTGGTGCCGTAAGCAGCGACAAGTACCGTGGCCGGAGAGTGACCCAGGAGAAAGGGGTTGTGTCCACCTGTGGCGGAAGGGTCAAGACGACCACATCGTTGGGTTAAGCGTTTGTACTCTTTGGTTTTTTCGGTAATGTCACGTAGGTAATTAAAAAAAAAAAAATTTTATCACGACGTTTCGGAGGCAACACAAGCTTCCGTCTTCAGGTGGAACCATCACAGAAAAATTACTGTTCCACCTGAAGACGGAAGCTTGTGTTGCCTCCGTAACGTCGTGATTTAATTTATTTTAAATTTTTTACCTACGTGACTTTACCAAAAAAAACAAAGTATGAATCCTTGCAGTCACGAAAACTTCACATCTAGAATTAAGCGTTTATGTGTGGCTGCTCACCAAAGGAATCTAAAGGTCCTATGTATGCATGTTGAACTTCTTTTGCACCGTACGTTGCCAACAGTGCTAATCGGAGGTGCGGGAGAAAGGACAAACTAAATACAAAGCAGTTCTAAAGGAATTTGTTTTCAATCTATATTTAAAAGTGCATAGCTCCAGTGGCTTCCGAATATCCTAATATTTTCCTGTAGTTACAATGCTCACCATTGGATCCTTTTGCACGGGGAAAACTAAATTTGCAATCCAGCTCACGACAAGGAAGAGCTTAGCTCTCCCGATGCGTTTTCGGGTCGTGCCGAGTATTGTGCGACACTAGGTGTTACGTTTCACGCCACATTCTGGGAACTCAATCGTTCCCAAAGAATCTCCCCCCCACACATCCGCGGCATGAGAGGGAATTTGCAAACCTAAAACACGTGCGAATTGCTCTCCCGAGAATGTTCGTCAAATGTACGACCGCGTAGGATCGCGCGGTTGTGCTGTATCGTCCTCCCGATGCGTTGTCACGAACTGAACAGTTCGGTTCCTGAACAAGCTCCCAGCACGTGGGCTGAAACGTGAAAGCCTACGTGAGTTGGTCTGCGATTTCCTCGAGGGACATTTTGGTGACGGTAAACTTTTCGGCGGGGCATGCATTGTGGGGGGCTTTATTGACGGGCAGTAGAGGGCAGCAGTAGCAGCACCAACATCCATTATACTCTACTGTGCTCCCACACACATGCTCCCTGCAATCACCGACCAGCATGGTTAAGTCTTGTCAAATAACCCCTACGGCCCAATCGGTGTGGGGCGGGACCTCATCTAGCAGTGGATTGATAAAAGGGGCATCCATGCGTGGACAAAGTTTAGGCCGACCTTCTTGGGGTTCGGCAGTTGGAAGCAAACCCATGACCACTCGTTTTGTGCGTGGCGGGCACCCGTCGAGGCTCAAGCCTAAGCTAAGCTTCTGAGATCTGACAAGATCGAGCGCATTCCACGTGATTTGGCCGCAGGAATAATCGCACAGAGCGTGTTGTTCGGGCCGGGTGGGTGGTGGCGCACGCCAATAATCCAGCGCCGGTGGATCGCACGGACGTTGCAAAGCTCCCTTTCTCCCGCGGGCGTCGAGGTGGCATATACCCTTGGCTCGCCAGGAGAAGGCAGTACAGAAAAACATGTGGACTCCACTCATTGCGACAGTTTGGCAGCGTGGGTTTTCTCCGGGCTCTCCGGTTTCCTCCCACGTGTAAATCGCTCATTAATTGCCCGCTAACAACTGTTGGTGGCGGCTCAACGCGTGGCTGCCTTCCCCGCCTGTATGTGGTGGCGTGGATTTTTCTCCGGGTCCTCCGTTTTTGTTTTACCTCCACGTTTATACTCAACGCACGTTTAGAAGTATTTGGCTTATATACATTTCCACGTGATAAGCTACAACGTTAAGCTGTCATTTGTGATAGCCACGTCGCTTCTGAAAAATAGCTATATAGCTCAGTGGGCCTTACCTGGTAAAAAAAAACACTTTTTTTTGTTATATGGTTCCTCACATCTCCGAGTCGTTTTCTCTCTACGAGATTGAGCGAATACGGTGTGCATTAGAAATATAAATGATTATGTGTTGTTGAGGTTGACTCTAATAAACACAAAGGGAAACCAAATACATTTTTTTATAATATTTAGTTGCGCCAGCCTGTGGTCCTTCTGGGGCCATTGCTTTCCAGCAGCGGAGAATGATGGACCAACAACTTTTATATTATTTGTACGCGGTGAAACAAGCCAAGTCTTACGTAACATCTGCGAGCTTTGATAAATTTGTGCCAAAACATATGAAAGCATGACCTCGACTTGACAATATGGATTTATATAGCATCTCAAGATGCTGTACAGAAACAGTGGGCCATATTTAATGTCTAGAGGGAGGCAGTCATAGGTCTCTATGCAGGACTGGGACCCTATGTGGGTACATGGGTTTGTGTGTGAGGCTATCGATCCTATGTTTAGCTATGGGTCCCGCTATTTTAGTACATGAGTCTGAGTCTTTATCGGGCATGTGGTTAGACCAGAGGATGCCTTTTGGTGTCCTCTGTTCTAACACCACTTGAAACGAGGCTCAAAAGAAAGCTCTCTGGTGTGGACCAATCACTTTCAAATACAATGCATATATTATCAGAGTGTGTTTTTTGTTTGCATTCTGACCACAAGTATTGTAATGCAGACATGATTCCTTGTAAAAGGTTTCAGTTTGTGGTTTTAACATCTTAACACCTGTTTTGTCGACAGAAAAAAAAGGGGAAAACCTATTCTCATCGTTTCACCTATTTACGTTTTATTTCCCGTCAACCGTGAGCCGACAAAAACCAACCTTGACGGAGCGCTGCCGCAGTGAGGCAGGCCTCGCACACAGATATCTCAGCTGCTTCAGCAGCTGCGCGGGTGTCCTGAACAGACACTGAGCTGCGAGGGGGGGAAAAAAAAAAACACAGCGCACGCACGCGCGCACGTAAGAGACTTGTATACCAGTACAAGCAATTGTAATAATTCATGTCCCTTTGTAAAGCCACGGCTGGGTGAAGGCTTCCCCCACGCCGTGGGGGTTTCATCTATCACGCTTCACACTGGTCAGCTATGGGTCGGTGAAGGTGCTGAAGGTCAGAGCGTCCCAGGACAGGTTCAGATATCGCTCGTCGCTTAAGGCTACGATATTTTGACACGGTTATTTTAAGGCACATTCACAAGTCACGGAGGTGGGAAAAGCAATAATTCGTGGAGATGTTATGGAGTAAGGTGGGCGTAGCACCACTCCCTCCCACCCCACCCCACCCCATCTTCCCTATGTACATTTTGAAAAGAAAAATAAAGGAAGCGCCAAATCGAATGTTTCTACAGCTGTTTCATTGACTTCATCCATTATTTAATGGACTTTAAAAAAATTGCTAATGTTTTAATCACCGTGACACCTCCGTGGCAAAATCGTAGCCTCGCCTGTCGCCAGATGTTAGCCGTGGCAAGGAATCTAAGTCAGGGCGCCGGGTTCGTTGCTTAGTGCGCGAACCGCTGTGCCAGTGAGGCAGGCTGGGCACAAAGATTTTGCAGTTGCTTCAGCGGCTGTGTTCGGGTTCTCAGACTGTAGGGGCAAGTGCTCTTCGCGAGTAGCACCTATGAAGGTCGGCACGGCACACGAGGCGGTGGGTGGCCAGCACCACGCCCGGCCGCATTTGTCTCCCCAGTGGCGATGTTTACACACCGCACCAGATACTCATTTCCACTCCTATTACATATACACTGTACCACTCGCCCTACTATTGATATACAGGAATCATCCTGTACTTGCCCTACGACTTAACCGTATACTTATAACAGGTCATCATATCCACAGGTTATCGTCAGCATTACTACACTGCCTTCACTTAACTCATTTGTACAGACATTCTTCATTTATTTTTAGGCCTTAATTCCTCCTATTAGGTGTTCGGGAGAGTACTCTCTCGAGTGGGGGCCCTTCCCACAGCAGTGACGGCGTGAAGCGCAGCAAATTGCAGGGGATGCGCCTTTACCCTCAACACACAGTGTGCTGTGAAGCAAGGCGGGGTGACCTTACCGGGGTGACCTTACCGGGGAAGATCTCGGGATAGACCAGGGCGTCGGGGCAGAGAGGGTAGCATCCGCAGTGTGCCGCTTCAAGCCTGCGGATACCACACTAAAAAATTAAACGACAACACTCTCACCGACTCCTGGGCTACAATTACACGGGTGGCATTTTCCCCGATTCATCCACTACCTCCACGCCTCTGCCTGTCACCCTATCTACACCTCTGCCTATCTCGCGAGTCACTTTTATTCCTCTCAATGCATTTCCACTGCTGCCCTACATTTAGCCGCCATTAAGGATGTGTTCCAGATATTCGGATTAAACTGGGGGGGGGGGGGGGGAAATACAGAAAAATCGGGCTTAGGTACAAGGTTTTGGATGATTCAAGATGCCTGGCCAGTGTGTACAATAGTTGGCCAAATAAACACTCGGTTACAGGGGCTCTCTCTTGAGCTTTATGCGGTGGGAGGCCCTTTGCAGCAGGCCAGCGGTTGGCGAGAGCAAGACTTCGGCAGGGCCATCCCGTACTGGACGTCGGTGAAAAAGAGCTTCACAGCTCATCGGATTCCTCCGGCCTAAATAAATTATTCTAAATGCAGATTCTGACCTCTACCACGAAAGAGATAGATCACGAAAAAAAAAACCAAAGAAGAATAAAAAGAAAAGGAAAACTCGAGACTTGCATGGCAACGCCGAAGAACTCGTGTTTGGCAGTGGAGACGGCGACGTCCGCCGCCGCGAGGACTCCGTAGTAGTCCTCCCGGCTCGCCTGGAAGCCCCAGTGGAGGATCTCGTCCGTGAGCCGCCTGCGAGCCTCCTCGAAAACAGCTGACGGGGGAGGAGACAAAAAAAAAACCGCAAAAAAAAACCACGCGCACACCGTTACGGGAGTTGTCGCTCGCACGAGAAAAGGCTCGGCCGTCACCGGCGGCTTCGGGAGAGAGCGCCTTCGTCCAGCAGTGGATTGATCGTGGTCAACGGCGGCGGCGACGACAAACAACGATTGAAGTTATTTACACCATTGGAACCTCATTTGCCAGTAAAAAATATGAGAATTGGTTTTTTACCCTTCTATCTGGCAACAAAACTGACACCTTTTTTACAAGGAGTCATGTTTGCATAGACCACAATACCTGCAGCCATAATGCAAAAAAAACATAACTCTGATATTATGGCTGCAGGTATTGTGGTCTATGCAAACACTGACTCCTTGTAAAAAAGGGTGTCAGTTTTGTTGCCAGATAGAAGGGTAAAAAAACAATTCTCAACGATTGAAGTTGTCGCTTGCCGCGCTAAAGAAGCCCGCCGCACAGTAACGCGTACCGCAGAGGGTGTACGCCATGTGCACATCGGCTGTGTGAATTCGACTGCTGGATGAAGGGCTGCCCCACACAGTGTGTTGGCCATGGGGGCTTGTTTGACCATACTTCACCAGCCTGGCCAGTGTGGAGGTGGTCAAGGCGGAATGATTAAAATGTAAAATGTTTTAAATACAATCAGGGGCTAGGGTTTTATCACGTGTGAAAGCACACGCAGTGGCAAGAATGGGTACGGCTGTGGGGAAGGCGGAGTGGGGGGTTGGGAGGTGAGGGGGGGGGGCACTTCCTTTAGACCTGGACACATTATGCTGGCCTCAGCACAACACAGCGACCCATCCATCCCACTGATATCACGCACAAGTTACAAGTGCACCACTGCAGTTAGCTTAATCAAAGCAGCTCCACGCCTCATTTCACAACCCGTATCGAGGCTGCCCTTAATGAAGGTGGAATTAAAAGGGGGGGGGGGCGGTGGCGGGGGGGCGGGTGGGTGCGCGATAGCCGACAAGCGTCGGGTAAATGGGATTGCTCCGGTGTTCTGAAACGCCGATGACAGCAGCAGCAGCATCAGCAGCAGCACGCTCCGCAACCACCACGTGCGTGCCCCCCCCCTCCGCCCACCAGCCCCTTTTCCCCCCCACAATTCTCGTCCCCCCCCCCGCCACTAACCACCCCACTCCGCCCCAGCCATTTAGCCGGAGCGGCAAAGTTAATGGCAATTCGGAGCCCCGCTTTACTAGCCGACTGGAAAAAAACACACGGGCGGCAGACGACGCGGGGGACTTTTACTCGACAGAACCGGCGAGCGTTGGCGGGAGGGAGAATTCCGAGAGCTGTGACCGTTTCTCCAACCCAGGTCGTTGTCCAACTGCGTTGGGACGGTGACGAGCGGGAGGGGGGGGACTTTTATTTTATTCTGCGTACCGAAATCGCCTTTTTTGCGAGGGAGGTTTGTTTTTCATGCGATGAGCTTAAAAAAAAAAACGAGGCGCAATGGCCAATGAATCAGAATATATATTTATGCTGGAGGAATCCGATGAGCTATAAAGCTCTTGTTCACAGATGTCCAGTAGGGGCAGGGTAAGAACGTTACAACAAACAACAACAAAAAACACGACGGCAGTGCAAAGTACAAGAAAGGTAAACAAATCACTCAAACACAAACAAATACAACACGAAACCATCCCCAACCTATCAGACAAAGTCCACTGAAATGTTAACTTATTTTTCAAACACGACTGGGCCTATCGCATATGATAGCTCAACAAAGTGGCATATCATTTGGACATTTGTAGCAGCAAAATCATCGAAATGGTCTAAACGTCAATGAAGAGGCGACATGCGCAGGTGTGGTTATTTACATGGCACCGTGGTGTAGGTTTCACCCAGAACGGAAACTCTGAACGAGCAGCCCGCTTCCTTCAGCTTGAACAACGTCTCGAAGAAGAGTTCGGGATTCTTATCGTGTTCCCTGTAACAAACAGAAATAATGATAATAAAACACGTTAATTTAAAGAAAAAGAAACCCGTGACCTTTTGAACAAAAAAAATGCGCGCACGCAAACAAAATGACTGTCCATGAAGAACAATAAAGACAAGAGATTTACTTACATTGGAAATAAATCAAAGCTAAATAAACCAAGAGCGAGGAGACATTTTTGCATAGGTTCCTTTCTAAGCATCTGCTGCAAATTAAGCGCTGGCAGTCGTCTGGATGTCCCAGTGACTGCGTGGCTCAGCATCCAAGGGCAGAGAGAATTTCGGGTCCCCTCTCCCCCCTCCCCGCAACCCCCAAAGGTACTCTCCGCCAACTTCAAACATCCCCATTATTTTCCAAAATGTCCGCCTCATAATTCCTGCCCGCCAGCCTGCCGTATTTACATTACGGGGGCGTGCGCGTAATAATGAGCCCTGCGAACGGCGGTGCGCAAAACGCCATAATTCTCCGTCCGCCGCAGTGATGGATTCTAATAAGCGCTTTTCCCATCATGGCCTAGGATTACCTTAATTGTAACTTGAAGATTAATTGCTCTGCTGTCCCCCCCCCCCCCCTCTCTCGCTTTGATCTGCTGGTAATACCTCGCGCGTGTTAATGAGCGTTATTAAGGGGGGGGGGGGGGGTAACTGTTCGTCGGCGTGCGGGATTAGCACGCTTCCCCCGAGTAGTGGCAGCTAGGCAGGTGGGCCCTAAACAGAACTCGTCAGCTTTCCGAAAAAACCGCCTCCATCTCGCGTCCCACGTCACTGGTCCCTCTCCCGCCGGGTCCACGTTCGAACACGGCTTTGCCGTGGGGGCGGCAAAAAGCCAGCCGCAGATCGCGAAATGTGGTGGGTGCTGCGCGCCCGGCTTCGATGCGACTCTCAAGGTGAGACTTTCGCGGTGTGTCTGCCCACTGACGAAGTTACAATTTTACGAGTCCTATAAAAACAAACTTACAGTAGCAGCCCGGTGCGAGAGTACAAACCGCGCCGTGGAGGGGGGGCGGGGGGGGTACAGAAAACTCCGCGGCAATGAGTCCCGAAACGCTGTGCACCCGAGGTTAGAGGAGGAGGGAGATTGGGCTCCCCCACCCCCCCCATCAACAGCGTCGAGGTCAAAGTCTCGCGTATTTAATCGAATCTCAAAGGTGCAAAATTCCCACAGGGGTTTTTGTGTGCCGCTCACCCTATTATTCTGTGAGTTTCCCCATGAAACTGAGAAGGAACTTTTGCTCCCCGAGTTCCACGTGACAATTTCTTCAATGCCATGCACAAACCTTGTACTTCTCAACGTTCATCCGACAAAGTCCCATCACAAGGGAGAAACACAAACAAATAGACATTGTTTTTGTTGTTGCCCGTATTGAAACGGCCTGAAAACTCATTTTCCCTGTACAAGAATACGGGTAAACCGTATGGGTTGACAGCTATGCATGCACTGTCAGCTTGTCTTTGAACACTGCACAAAGTTAAGGACTGAACTCAGAATTCCTCGAGGCGTGTATATTTTGGGAAGCCCCTCAACGTCATTATTTCTCGTGCACGACATCGCACGGTATCTCGCGTATCTAACCGATGGAATGCATCTTGATATTTCTCGAGTGACGCGAGTACAAGTAATTTTTGGTGAGGATTTAAAAACTCTCCAATACCGTACTCCTCGGGGAAGGCGTATTGCTTCCGTCGGCACAACGTTTGCAAGAAGCTTCTGTGAGGTGGCTGGGGTGTCTTTCAGGGGTCAGAGAAATCAACCTCTGCGTGTGAATCAGGGCAACTGTGCGTAACTAAATCGGATTCCCAAGCGTGACAAGTTGCTAGTTCTTAGGCCAGTCTAAAATGATTGCACAATTATTATTTTTATTTGCTCTTCATTTGGCTTATATCCAACCGTGAGAAGTAACGGCAGTTTCATATGAAGCGTACAATATTTGCAGCGTATTGGAATGTGTGCTCCTAATAACTAATAAAGGCATGACGGGGGTCGAAGTGAAAGTGACCTCCGGGGGGAAATTACGTAACACGGCGTTACGATAGCATAGCGATGATAGCACAACAACGATAGCACGATAGCATACTGAGAATAAATCTGGGGAAAATACAACTAAAAATGTGTTTTTTTTCTCTAAACAATGATCCTAAGGAGTGTTCGTTCACCTTGACTTTGATCAGAATGAAACTGCCCCGAAGATGAAAACGTTATAAATTATTAGCACGGCAGCTCACGTAAGCCGCCTTTCTTCACAGCTATGCTCCAAAGACCGGTAATAAATCCGCATTAAAGCAAGCGATAAAAAACGGAATGCTAATTGATACCGGTTACACGTTACGTGCCGTGTGCGCCGAGGAAAAGGTGCAAAACTCTGCACCGTGGAGCATCAGGGGATGATGCACCTCGCGCGTCGAACGGCAGGAGAGTGCGCACACCTCACCTAATGAGACTCGTACCCTCTGGCTTCACTACCGCGCTTGCGCTAAACGGCTGCAAATTGAATTCCATTCTCCCCCCCCCCTCCGCCCCGAGGGTTCCTGCGGTCAGTTGCGGGCTGTGCTCTCTGAAACGCGAGGCTAATTTTTCTCGCTCTCCACCGCGCCCTTTAACCGGCGTTCGTTTTAAACCGTTTCTTATTACGCGCGCACGCACGTGTTAAAAAAAGTGCGCGGCGCGCCGACGCGTGCGTTGTGCCATTCGTTTTACACGCCCATGCGGGGAGCGTTTGTAAATTCTGTAATTAGATATTCACGGCGGGCATTCATTCAGTTTCCTACGTCGTGCGTAACAAAACGTAGGTTAACCAGACACGTCTATTTTATATACGTAGACATACATATTGTGCATTAACATTACACCGTTTTATACACGCGAACATGGCATTTGCAAATTCCATAATTCGATATTTGCGACGCGCATTCAGCTAACGACATGGTACGTATGTATGATGAACTTCTTTCGCACCGTATTACAGCGTAAGTTAGTAGCACAGCCAGTTTTTCTGTTGCCTTCTGTAAAATGAACAGACAAAAAAAAATCTGCGGCTTTAAAATACACACGTACACATCTTTCTGTTTCTACTTAACACGTGCCATCGGATGGCCGCGGGTACTGCATTAACGGCTCATCTGTATTGCTCAGAATTCACTCCACATGGCCGCGGCATTACAAGTGCAGCTCCTTCTCCCGTGCGCACATTAACGCAAAATAAATCCCTCGGGTCGGCGGCGCTTGCCCCCTCCTCCTCCTCCGCCACCACCACCGTCCTGGCGTGGCCTCCTGCGACGCGTCACGGCGCAGAGCGATGCTTAACCTCTCCCTACCGGGCGCGCGCGAGCGAGCGTGTGTGTGCGCGGCGCGTCGAGAGAGTCATCAGTCCGGTGACCGGGTCACGCGGTCCGTCCCCTGCCTTCCAGGCAGAGTGGAGAAGCCACTTCATTTCGCTCCGTACAGCGCGAGAGCACTCTCGCGTTGCGAGACTCACGAGCGAACTTCCAAAATCGATGGCGTGACGACAGCTTCCTCCGTCGGGCGGGAGATGAGTAGGGACATGGAGGGGGGCCGTGTCCCCCACTCACGCTTCAGCGAGGGACTCCAGAAGCCAAGGGACCGAGTCTGCAGTGTGAATCTCTGTTCCGGTGCCAGACCCGTTTGTTTGTAACGCGGGCAACGCGCAACACCGCTGGCTGCTTGTGGCAGTCAAGAGGTGTCACGGTGAAAAATAAAATTCTCGCAACGATTCAGGGTCACGACTCGGCCTGTGCGAACGATCCTTTGCTAACGTTGCAGCGAACGCAATGGTCAAACGTACAATTAATCGCATGTACATGTTTTATTTACCGTGGGCATCAAAATCATTGTTTATCGATAATAATGATAAACAGTTCCTTGGACACTGACAAAGAAAACTGAACAAAAACTGAAAAGTGCGCATAGAAGCACAGAAAGACGCACGTTTGGAATTGTTTCGATAGAAAGAGGACCTGATGGATTTGAGAACATAAGCAAATTAGGTCCATCGTACTGACCGTGATGAAACGCAAGTGGAGAAGACGTGTCTCTAACAGGGACGATGAGCCGGTGATTGAGACTAACAATAGTGGCAGCTAAAGGAGAAATAAACACGCTCAAGAGATGACGTGCACAATGGACATGGAGCGATGAAATCAACTCGTACGCAGGTGCGGGGTGAATCGTCACAATGCAGGGCCGCGAGAGGTGGCGAAGGCATGGGGAGACTTTGATCCAGCAGTGGATTGACCACGGCTGATTTTTGCGATTACATTTTTCCCCTCGTTATCGTGCGGGATACGTTCCGGAGATGCTCGTGAATAGCAAATTTCGCGTATCATGATATTGGCCGACCAAAATTGCCTGAAATAAATACGTAAGCAAGCTTTACATGAAAATGATCTCATCACTTTATTTTTCTCTGTCTCTCGATGCAGTCACGTAGAGTTCCATATGCGTTTGCGGATGGCCAAAATCGCAGATGGCTAAAATCGCAGATGGCCAAAATCGCAGATGGCCAAAATCGCAGATGGCCAAAATCGCGGATGGCCAAAATCGCGGATGGCCAAAATCGCGGATGGCCAAAATCGCGGATGGCCAAAATCGCGGATGGCCAAAATCGCGGATGGCCAAAATCGGCAATGGCCAAAATCGGCAATGGCCAAAATCGGCAATGGCCAAAATCGGCAACGGCCAAAATCGGCAACGGCCAAAATCGGCAACGGCCAAAATCGGCAACGGCCAAAATCGGCAACGGCCAAAATCGGCAATGGCCAAAATCGGCAATGGCCAAAATCGCGGATAGCCAAAATGGCAAATGGCCAAAATGCCAAATGGCCAAAATCGCGAACGAGTGAATGCCGTATTGTGAAAAGGACCGTCCATGCCGGGCATTTCTGAGTGCCGTCAAGGTGACCTGAACAAACGTAATCATTGACGTCGCTGGCATGGCCACTTTTACAAGATCTACGAGACAACGACAACTGCCATTCGCCACTAAGTGGCGGTGACATCACCAGGGTGCTTATGCCAGGCTATGTGCACGTTAAGGCCAAGTAAAGTGTCAAACCGCCCGCTGGCAGGAGGTCACGGAACAGACCCAGGTGCCATGGGTCGACTGACTTGAGGTGACCGGCCGATGCGCCACCTGAGACACATGCCGACTCACTCCCGTATCAGATCAGAAGCGGGCAAAGTGGTAGGCGGGGGGGGGAGGGGGGGCGTGGGGGGAAATAAATAAATACTTCAATATCTGTCGTGGCCACGTGCTCTGCCGAACGACGACGACGCTCCGAGCTGTGGAACCGCCGTTGCGTCGCTCCGCTCAGAAACGCTCAATTGGCCAGCGGAGCGGCGCCAGCGCTCCATAAGCCGCCTCGCACATCAACTACACGAGGGGTCCAATGTCCAAATGAGATTATGCCAGCCATGCGAGAATATATGCCGCAGTAAAATAAAATAAAAAATCAAGTAACGGTCGGGCAAAACATGCAAAAAGCAGATTACTCTGTTTTGTCCATATTCATTTTCCAAATCTTCCGGGACGAGAAAGCCAATTCTGCGGTGTACTTTAACGGCTGGTTGCACTTCGTGTTTTCGCCCCGACATCAAAAGGCCGATTGCAGCGAAATGGAAACGCGGGGACACCGGTGCGATCCGTCCAATCCTGTAATTACCGTGCCGGGCCCGGCGCACAATTGACTTGTCACACACACAAATCTCGCGACAGCGCATCGGGAAGGTGGTGGGGTTGGCAACAAGCGCGGATTGGAGGGGGCGGGTGTGGGAGGGGGATTTATACGAAGATGAAAAAAGCATCAAGTGGCTTGCTGCTCCACGCTCAGAAGTGTCTCCCGCACGGGATTTCCATCACGTACCAACTCGACCACAACCAACACACCCAACCACTCGGCCATCCACCCACCCAGCCACCCAGCCACCTGCTCAGTTAGCCATCAACGCATCCACCTACCCAGCCGGCCAGCCACCCACTCAGCCAGCCATCCGCCTACCCAGCCACTCAGCCAGTCACCCAGCCATCCACTCACCCAGCCATCCACTCCCCAGCCACTCAGCTACCCAAACCCAGCCACCCAAACCACAACCTACCCACTCGGCCGCCCCTAAACGCAGCCATTCAACTGCCCAGCCACCCATATCACAACACATCCACCCACACATCCACTCTGCCAGCCACCCACTCACATAATATATAAAAAATGTTGGTACATTATTTAACACACGTTGTAATGACTGCTCATGCGTGCACAAACTGACTGATCCGCAGCAGTGTCCTTTGAATTTGCGAGCTTCGTGTGAAGACGATGACATACAAATTGGGGACTGACCAAATTGCGAGACAATCTACAATGAAGCGATGGGTATCGCAGCTTTTCCTCACACACGGCGAGTGAGAGCCACGGCAGAGGGCACGACAAACACAGATCGCATTCCCGCTCATTCTGTTTGGCGTTTAATATTCGCGTAAAGTTTTTGTTGTATGACCTCCCCCTTTTAAGCAAGGTCACGGCTACAGAGTCGCACCCACCCACCAAACCCACCAACTCACCCACCAAACCCACCACCCTCCCACAACCAACCAAACCACCCTTCCAATTTCATCGCTCTCCCTCCCCGCTTTGAATTTTTTATTTTTTATACCTCCGCTGATTTTCTCTCTCTCTCTCTCTCCCCCTCGCTCTCCACGGCCGTTTGCGCCTCTGCGCGGGCAGCTGTAATCCCAGCTCTGTTTAAATTTCACTTGCGTTTGATGTCGTACTCCAGAGATTAGAACGCAGGAGCGCAGGGCGGCGTGCGGAGCCGTGTGTGTGGAAGCGGCAGCCAGCATTGTCAACACGGGGCTGTCTCCGCGAGACAGGCGGGCACTCGGGCGAGCGAGCGAGCGGGGCGAGAGTGGGTAGTTGGGACGGGAGGGGATGTGGCGAGTGGGGTTGAGCAAGCGAGCGAGTGAGTGAGTGAATGAGGAAAAGTTGCATGCAGCTAGAATGGCAGGCAGGCAGGCAAGGCTTGCCTTCCCCCATGGCCTCTCAAGATTGAGCTGTCTCCTACACGCACTCTTTTCAAACAATTCCATCCCTGCACCTATACAGCGGTGGACGGCGGCGTAGCCGGTGAGCGTTTGTGTTTCCGCGTCGAGCCGCTCGCGTCGGATCGTTTGTCATCGTTTTTTCTTTGTTTGGCGAAATAAAACGAGGCGTCGGCGCGTAAAGCACAGCGCAAAAAAAACACACGCCGGGCAAAACTTTCGCGACCGCTCACGACGACCGCGTCAAAAATGTAGCAGAGTTTCAGCTTGTGCAAGTCGAAAAAAAAAAAACATTTGCACAGCGGAAGAGAAAATTGCGATGATTGATTTATTTTCTTTCTTTCGTTCTCTATCTATCTCTCCATCATGCGGAACAAATAATAAAAAATTTAAATCGCGAAAACAAACGCAGTAAGCGTACCAGCGGTGAGGCCACAGGATGTGAAGCGGCTGAGCTCCGCTCGGACGACGAGGAGAAGGAGGAGGCAAAGACGGTCCGGAAGCAGCGCAGGGAATTTTCTCATAATTCACGACTGGCCCAGTCATGTCCGGGTCGCCTGTACACACCGCATCGCCACAGCGTTCACAACACTTATTATCACACTTAAAATATTAATAATAATCACGAAGCAGCCCGTTTTCTAGAGCGCAATTCGCACAAGGCCTCAAAGCGCTTTACACAAATCTTGAGCGATGGAGAAAGCTTGTAAAAGCAGGTGGCGAGATGTTGACTACCTCGCCTGGTATGCAGGAGGTCGTGGGTTCGATGCCGACCCTTGACACCTGTATATTTGGAGTTTGCGTGTTCTCCCCGTGTTCGCTTTGTTTACTTAAGCACGCAGAAGCAGTCATCGGCAGAGGACAGGAGGAAGGTCTCGAGCCCGTATTTGAGGAGTGGCGGGAGAGCTGATAGCACGAAAGGTCCGGGGGAAGGGAGTTCCAGACCACGGGGGGCAGAAGAGGCGAGGGAAGGCACCGAGGGCAGGCAGCACACCTTGGCGGGGAGAGTGGATGTCGGGTTCCGTGCTCCCAAACGCATCGTCCGGCTCACCCTGAAAGAAACTTGTTCCATCAAACGAGGTGCAAGAGAATCAGACAATCTCCTTGAGCAATACCTCGGTGTCTACACTATTCTAAACTATTTTTTATTTTATTTTACCAGGCAAGGCTCCACTGAGCGACATTGCTCTTTTGCAGAAGCGACCTGGCCGCAAACGATAGCCCGACGAAGTGGCTTATCACGTGGAAATTTATAGCAACCAAATACTCTAGAATGCACGTTGGAAGACCCGGAGAAAAATCCACACGGCTACGTGGAGAACGTGCAAACTCCAAATACACAAGAGTCGGGATCGAACTGACGACCTCCTGTATACCAAGCGTGGTAGTTAACATCTCTCCACCGCGGCAGCGCCACACACAGTGAGGCACTGCCACGGTTGTGTAAAAATCAGCACACTGGGCCGACAATGCAGAACTCGCCAGTTTGATTCCATCTCCCCACCACGGCAGTTGAAGCAACGGTGCAAGTTTCTCAAAACCGCCCTCCGACCCCGCCCCACCACCGCCTTTGTACACCCCGCAGTCTAACCGGGGTTAGACCGGGGTTTGACTTCTGGGTAGACATAGACGGTGCGACCACAGTCAGTTGATTGGAAGGCTGTGTGTAGTGGGGTAAAGTGTGGGTACTCGCAGATCCTCCAGCATGGAAGAGTGAGGCCGCATTATCCTCTAGAGGGCGGCTCTCTCGAGCTCCCTCCACTGGAGGGTCCTTCTACTAGCAGTAGCGTGAACTAACTATTGCAGGGCTGCCCCTCTACCTTGGTACCGTGTCGTACATACACGTGCTTCATTGGCGTTGGCACGGATGAAGCCAACAGCATTACACGAAAGAGACATTAGTTGGCACACAACGGCACAATCGCCATTACATAACAGAAATCGGTGGCAGTTAGAACAACACTTTTTCACAAATTTGCTATTCTATAATGAAAGTATATTTTTTGTTTCATGACTTAATGCTAGATGACAAGCAATGAAAGTGTAAGAGCAAAATTGATAGTAAAAAAAAACCAACAACATCTTGTACTGGTTTGCTGGTCATTAAAATAACATGAAAGTCAAATTGGGAGCATCGAAAAACACATTCAAATGTTGTAACATTTGTGAAATTTCAAAGTCTCATTTTATTTTGCCTTCGCAGGACTTCAAAAACGCCCACGTGTTGTTTAAATGTATATATCCAAGAAAACATATTTCGGCTGTATTACGAGACAGGTCATTACATTTCAAGATATATGTTCATTTTAAGTATTGTTACTCGAGCTGGGAGTTTCTTCTTCATAACAAGCTCCCAGGATAACAAATGCACGAGTAGCCAGCACACGTGCGTTTACTGCCGATATCTAAATCCTCATCACCCTGCAGGAGCTCACGCCCACTGCCGTTTCCTTGTCCATCTGTGGGGTGTGCATGCGTTTGGTTTTCTGCAAAGTGTTGGTCAAGTATCGTTTCTTCCGTTTAACCAGATGAGAGGTCAAGAGGAGACTAGGTGCGTCTCATTTGCAAGTGACCTGGGTGACCAAAACGACAAACCGTCGTATACTGGCCCATTTGTATCGTACATTTTTCAAACGTCAACTCGCGTAATCTCGAACATCAGAAAACTGAATAAAAAAAAATAAAAACCAAAGACGTACATTACATAACACATTAGCATGCTGTGTATATGCATTTCTCCAGAGGATCCATATTATAATTGGTTTTTTACCCTTTTATCTGGCAACAAAACTGACACCTTTTTTACAATGAGTCATGTTTGCATAGACCACAATACCTGCAGTCGGAATGCAAACAAAAAACACAACTCTGATAATATAACTCGTGCGCCTTTTGGCGTCATCTGGTCCAACACCATGTGAGACTAGGCTCTACGGAAAGCTGTTTCGGGTGTGGACCAACAACTTCAAGGACAGTGCATACATTATCAGAGTTGTGTTTTTTGTTTGCATTCCGACTGCAGGTACTTGTGGTCTATGCAAACATGACTCCTTGTAAAAAAGGTGTCAGTTTTGTTGCCAGATAAAAGGGTAAAAAACCAATTATCATATTTTTCTACTGGCAAATGAGGTTCCAATGGTGTAAAGGATCCATATTGTTTCGCAAAATAATTTAGCTTCAACAACAACTACAACGGTCGTCATACGCCACGAAGAGACTCTGATATCACCACTCGTGCTTGGCCAGGTGCACTTTGAGGCCAAGTCAAGTGCCGAAGGCTCGCTGGCAGGCGGGTCACGGGTGCAGACGCAAACGTCGCGCGGTGCAGCGGAGGGAACGCACAGCCAGGAGACGGAGCTATGTAATTGGCTCGCGTGCGGGCACACCCTTGTTGTTGTTACATCGCACAACCGGTAGAGGTAGCGACAGACTGGGGGGGGGGGCCTTTGTCCAGCAGTGGATAGATCAAAGACTGACGACGCTGACGGTCGTTTAGCGTCTCACTCCGTGACACAGTAACCTGGCTAAATGACCCATTTTAGTCGACTGTCCAAGCAGCTGACGGTTTGCACGTACGTGCGTGCCGCGTGCACGGGGTGTGCGGGTGGGAGTTATTTTCTCTGACCGTGCCGGGATGTGTTTGAAACTTAAAACAATCACCTCAGAAGTTTCCCCCACTCCCCCTGCCCCCCCCCCCCACCACCTCCCACCAAGAAAGTTTCCGGCAGAGGCGTCCCGAGACCGCCGATTCCCGGCGCTCTCAGTCAAAAGTTTATGCAAACATCCGGTTATCAGCAGGGATCGTCATATCCGGAGAGCGATGGCCACATCACCGAATTGCTGACGTCTGGCCCGTGTAAAGACAGGCTCTCCCTTTGTTGAGTCTCTCTCTCTCTCCTCTCTCTATTTTTACATCTCGTGTGTGTTTTTCGTTTTTTTGCAATAACACTGGCCCAACAGATTCCGAAACTCCTGCGCTCCTCTGCGAGGGGAGGACGTGTTATTGGTTACACGAAAAAAAAATGTTGAAGAGAGAAGAGGGCAACAAAAAAAAACACACACACCACGCACGCACGCGGATTTCTTCGTCTCTAATCTCAGCAGGGAATTACAAACCGGAATCCCTCTCCATAATCTATTATTATTATTGTAAGCAGCCGTTTTATATAAAGCAATGGGGGAGGGAGGAGAGGGGCGGGGGGGGGGTTGGGTGGCCCCATCCGTGCGCGCGCGTTGAGAACTTACGCACGCGCGTCCTTAACATTAGCGGGCCAGACTGATGGATACGGGTGGCCCGATCTGCTGAGAGGCGAGGACGAGTGCGGCATCGACGCCGGGCAAAATGGCGTTGAAGTGAGTGTTCTCTGCCGTTGACCGAGGCACGGCAAAGCTGCCGTCGAAGTTTCGGAGTCTTTGTTTTCCGAACGGACGTCAGCGAAGGTACGCCTCCCGTTGGTAAACTCAAGGTGCTATTGATTCAATGGAGCACTGTGCTATTCGGTTTATAAACTCGCTAGGAACTGCAAGCGAATAACACAAAAGTCAACAGACGCTCCGAGTGGATGATGAAAGTTGTTCGCACTCGCTGGTTACTCTCGGAAACCAGATTGTGTACGATTAGCACGGTTGGCTATGGCCGGTGCGGAAGAAGCTCAACATACATACATACATGTTGTTCTAGGGTTACCATACGGATCTGAATCTAACGTAGTTTATATTGGCAGATTCATACATGATCATTCACCAATGACTCTCATGTATGAAATAATTTCACACATTTATAAATCACCTCACTCATCCCCTGGGACATGCCGTGCACTCCCGGTTGAGAACCACTGCTCTGGACGGTATTCTTGGACTACGATTCAATCATGGCCAGATGTCTCACGGACGACTTGCGCGTCACCCACACTTCACTCCACAAACACATGCGAACCCGCCAATCGATAAACTGCTGCGAACCGATTTATACTGCCTGGGCGGACTTACCGGCTGTCGGAGGGAGGGAAGCGAATAGGGAAATGAAGGACGCGGCATTTCGGACGGATGGCAGCCTCCAAGTCACGAGGCCGATGGTCGGGAATCGCGTTCATGAAACCCGAGATGGAGCCCAGGAATGACTCCATGTTGAACCGCGAGTTGAACACGACCACATCTGCGGCGAGGCTGAAATTGAAAAAAACAGAACGGCAAAAGCAAAGCAGCAAGCCAGCAAGGAAGCGAACGTTAACATTTCGAGAACAAGCTAGTGATTATTATTGCTGATTGGTACAGAGGATTAAGCACAATTAGAAGCTGCATATGAACACACTTCTTGGGAGCAAGGCCAGCTGAGCAGCTTATATCCGAAACACTGTGTTTGTATCAGAAGTTGCTCTTTACTTTCTCCCACCAGTGCAATGCAATCATGTGTTGCCTCTATCACAACCATGCGCAGATAACAAAATAGGCAATATATCTCCATCACACATATGTCTTTCCTCGCAACATTTACAGCACAACCCCTCGGCCGCACGGCCTTAAGGGAGTGCAGCATCATTTCAGCAGCAGTGGTTCAGTACAAGCAAACTCTGGATCGGTTTCGACAAAAGTACTGCTGAAATGACATACGCAGAAGGCCGATCGACCGATAAATTGCATAAGATACTTGATGTGCAGAGACAGATATAATTATACTTTGGGTTGTGGCCTTACATGGGGCACCACGGTGGTGAGATGTTAACTATCTCGCCTGGTGTTCAGGAGGTCGTGGGATCGATCCCTACCCTGACGCCCGCTGTATATTTGGAGTTTGCATGTCTCTCTCCCCGTGGTCGCGTGGATTTTTCTCCGGGTCCTCCGGTTTTTCCCTCGACATTTAGAATGTATACGCCGTTCAAAGTATTTGGCTGCAATAAATGTTCACGCGACAAGCCACTTCGTTGAGGCTATCATTTGCGCCCAAGTCGCTTCTGAAAAAGAGCTACATAGCTCAGCGGGCCTCGCCTGCTAAAAATATAAATAGTGAATTGTTCTACGTGACGCGCGTTTGTACCCAAGCCCGCAGCGCACTTGCAAAGTGGCCCTCCGTCTCACCGGTGCGAATCGACAGCACGGTTGGCCTGCACCCCGCACGCGCCCCAGCGGTACTAACCAGGACAGCACTTGGTTGTATCCGTACTGAAAGTCTCGCTCGTGGGCGCTGCGCACGGGGTACACGAGCTGGTTCTCGTGGAAGTAGAGCACCTTGTGCAGTGGGGCCAGGTCCGGCCGCAGCGCCACGAGCTCCGCAACGTTCAGCACCGAGCTGGCGAACAGCACCCTGTGCAGACGCAAAGACACACGATCCCCCGTGTGGCCTTGAACAGACCGTTGGGGGTCAGTGCTGTCCGTGAGCGGCACCTAAACGCGTGGCCAGCACCACACCCGCCCGCCCGGCTGCCTTTGTCTCCCCGGTACAGCAGATCTCAACGGTGCAGCTGCCAACCGAGGGTAGGCATAGGACAGGTTCTGAAATCACTTCACGATTAATGTTGGCCGAGGCTGGGGATCAAACTTAGGCCACTGGGTTCGTCCAGCAAGAGCGACTAATCACAATGGCACCGATCACAAATAGGTAGAAAACAAAGATCCCACGTGAAGCCCACGTAGGCTATTTGGGCAGGTGCTGTTAACGAGCACCTATTAACGCAGGGACGGCACGCACGTTCGTGGTATGGCTGACACTATGCCCAACTGCCTTTGTCTCCCCAACGCTGCTTGTTTCACACACCACACACTGGGCACTACTCATTGAAGATGAGTAGCATCTGGTGTGTGGTGTGAGTTAACCAAGCGGAGGCCCGACACACAGTCTGCAATCACTCGCCACTGATGCTGGCCATGTCCGAAAATCAAACTCAGGTCGATGGGTTTGTAGCACAGTGCATTAATCACTGTGCCACCAAAGACAAAGATCCCCCGTATAGTCGTAACAGACTGTTGGGGCAAGTGCTGTTAGCGAGCCGGCATTGCACATGAGAGGGTGGTTGTCTGTCTCCCCAGTGGCGATTTGTACACACTGCACCAGGTACTCATTTGAGGCTCAGCCGACCTAAGGAAGGCCCAGAACCGATTCAGATAATCGTCACTAGTGTTGGCCGTGAATGGGAATCGAACTCGGATCACCGTTGCACTCCCGCTCCACCAAACAGGCAGGCACACGCATCCTAACGCATCAGGAACGAGCTCACAGATGGGCGCACGCACAAATACGTGAACACCCATCTCCTAAGTTCAAGCCACAAGACAGCACAAAGCAGCGCGCTCACCACTACGCCGCAAAACAGACGCGCGCAATGCAAACGAACGCAGAAGCGGAGGACAAAAAGCCACCTTTGCGAGATGCACACACGCGCACAATGAGTGAACGGCCATCTTGTAAGTCGAGCCAGCGTCTCTCAAACTCCGGTCCGTGCGGAGCCCCCTCCTGCGGTGCGGCTTTTTTTTTACGATTACCGATCTTTTTTTTGTTTGTCCATTCGTATGCAAATCAGGCCGTTACATATCGGTCGCACGCTCCTGATGGCCGGTAATTGAGGAGGGCTGCACTGCGGGGGGGGTGGCGGTGGTTGTTGATGCCTGCCATGGTCTGGCAGACACCACGTGGAAATTTAATACAAATTAGTTTACGTGGTAATGGAGGTCTTGATCACCTGAATAGCTTATTTACCCAGGGAAGCCTCAAGACACGTTTTTTCAGAAGGGTTCTGCCAAGTTTTCAGAGTAGTGGGGAGGGAGGGGGGGGGGCAATATTGCCACGTGTAATTACAACCCAATAATTTGCAGCTAATCTTTCGCCTCTGGGATGCTTGGCCAATGCCAGTTACTGCGTATGTTTTTATAACTACGGGAGGAAACCAGAGAACCCCAGGGGAAAACCCATGAAGAATAGGGTAAGAACATAGAACATACAAACTCCACGGAGAGATGCATCCGAGTCAGGAATCAAATCCCGGCCCTTCTTGCCGTGAAGAACAAGTAGTTTGTTGTCCTTCACCCCCCCCCGCACCTCCGATTAGCACGGTTGCCTACGTACGGTGGCGAAAGAGGTTCAACGTACGTATGCACGTGCCCACTGCGCTACCCTGCCGTCCAAAAAGACGGCCTTCACCTGTAAGCGTGGCTGGCAGGGATCGTCTGCGAGAGGTAGAGGGCGGAGGTGCGCGCTCGCCACGGCCACTTCTTGGCGGGCATTGTGTGCAGCGAACAGCCGGTGCCCAGCTCCTGTGCCAGCAGGTCCATCAGCTGCCTGCCGGGACGTGAACATGACGTGAACACAACGTGAACACGACGTGAACGCGACGCTACGCAACGAGACATAACGAGACACGAGACGCAGCACAGCACCCTGTCACAATTTGAGCTATTGCCTGACGAAGCTGGTTGCTGTAATCACGAGCGAAACGTCACAGCACTCGAATTGTAAATGTTGTTGTGCATTTACTCTCCAACACACCGGTGTCCTGAAGCGGTAACCAAGTGGCGCGTTTTGTTTACGTAACAAACTTTACTAATTGGCTGTGTCGGGTGGTGGTGGTGGCGGCGAGTTTAACGACACATTTATATTACTCGATCTAACTCTCTGTCTGCTGCTCTATTCATTACTATGGATCCGCGACCTCTCCATGATGTTGGGCTCTGCTACAACACTGGTTTACTGTCCTCCCTGTTACATTTACAATGCTATCTGTCAATCATCGTCTCTGTCAGCCTCTCAATTCCTTCTCCTTCCACTTGAACAAACATCGACAGTTTCTCCAAGTTTTCCCCCCATCACACTTATCCATGTGTCCAAAGTGCTTTACTTTCCATCTTTCTATGACAGTGTACAGCCGAGCCATTGCACTAAACTCTTGTAGTGCTCTTTCATCGGCTCTTCTTGCTGTCCACAGCATATGCAGGTCTTCTCGAGCACTCCAGCTCAAAGGCTGTGACCTTCCTCCTATCTGCTGCATCTGATTACCCAGCACAACGAACGAATTGTTTACGGTTACAGCGCAACACAAACGCTGCTCAAAGACATAACACCCAACATTCGTCTTCCTCCCCCACATGGTTCTAGCCAAGGCTTAATTTCTCCTGGAATATTTTCAGGCCGCCCCCCCTCCCCCCCCCCCCGCCGTTTGAAAGTGGCAGGGGAATACGTTCTGGATTTCTGCCCTGGCAGAAATTAAGCCCAGGTTTTAACCTCTCGCGTGATTTTAGAACCACCGCGGTATCCCTCCTATTCACGGCGACGGCTTTTGCCAGTGCGATTCATGTCGCGGGTGCGTGCCAGCCGTGCGTCCGTGTCGTACCTGTGCGAGCCGCCATAGAAGGGCTCGATTAACAGCACGGCCATGCCGTTCGCTCGTGACGGCTGCACACAGCAGCGCTGCCAGCTCTGGTGCTCCTACAAGAGAGCCACAGCACGACATGATTGAAGTCGACTTAAATCTGCCATTTACAGGCATCGCTCGGCATATGAAACAGCGTATCCTGGGAAAAACTTGATGACCCACAAGTTAATTTGTCCAGTTAAGTGTTTATCTGCCCCTGATGGACATTTGTGAAAAATTGATTTATAGCTCATTGGATGGATTCCTCCAGTATAATAAATGTTCAGGGTCTGTTTTGCTAATAGTAATTTTTTGGTATTTTTTTCCACCGAATGTTATTCCTCTTGTGCTATTGGTGTCAATTCATGAGAAAAATTACCCATTTCTCTTGCCGACTCATAGTTAGAAAACGGACCACAGAAGCGGATATCACAGAACTACCTCCAAGACCTCTGCAAGCAACCTCTCGCCCACACGGTATGTGGCAGCGCTCTCCCAGCCACCCTGCTCCAGGGAGTAATGTTCTTCGCATGGCAGTCAAGCATATTGGCACAAGACGAGAGGAAAGTGGAAACAAATGACGAAATGTGCAGTGGACACCTACAGGCTATCTGCCCATGCATCGTGGTGATGATGAAGTGCAAAACCAAATATGTGATGATTTTCGTCCAATGGTGACCGTGCCGAGAACATCAGTTTACAATAAAAACGAGAGCAGAAAGTGCATTCAAAATTGATGTTTTAGGGGTCAGATCACACGAGTACAATGCCATTGTGTTGAACTCTCCTCCACTTGACACAACAGAATCAAGTTAAAAACGATTAAACTCTTCTTTATTTTACAAGGTAAGGCCCACTGACCCTATATAGCTCTTTTTCAGAAGCAACCTGGCCGCAAATGATATCTCAACGAAACGGCTTATCATCGCGTGGACAATTTATAGCAGCCAAATACTCTAAACGCACGTTTATAAATGTGGAGGGAGTAATCGGAGGATGCGGATAAAAATCCAAGCGACCACGGGGAGAGGTATACGCAAACTACAAATATACAGCAGGCGTCAGAGTCGGGATGGAACCCACGACCTCCTGCATCCCAGGCGAGGTAGTTTACATCTCGTCACCGTGGCGCGAAGTTGTCGCGTGAACACGCCAATTGATAATACTTTCAGCACATCGGTTTGTTAATGAGCCATTCGCGTTATTGAACAATTCGGGTACGACGTTTCAGTGATAATTGCAACCAGTATACTCTTTGGTTCTTTCGGTAAAGTCACGTAGTTAGAAATAAAATAAAATACGACGTTTCGGGCGCAACACAAGCGTCCGTCATCAGGTGGGACAACCACGGCAAGAAAAAATTGCTGAAGTGATTTGTTTGATTTTATTTCTATGTGACTCTACCGAAAGAACCAAAGAGTATGGATTCCTGCAGTGACGAAAGCTTCAAATCAGGATCGCAACCAGTATAATCAGGCGATTGCCAGAACTAAACTCCTGTATTAAAATTAGCTCCCATCCCGAGGCGTACATAGGCGATGTGACATCAACCCCGCCTACACAGGTGAAGAGGAGGACATCGCAAGAATAGACTTAATACCTGGAGGTCGTGTGCAGGTATTCGTATAAGTCAAATCCTATTCAGATCATTCTGTAGCCATCTGCAGGGGAAGGGAGAATTAATGATTAATTTAGTGGATTAACAAATGATTCCAATGCAGCTAGGATGATATCAAAACTATTTTCAGTAAATCATGCGCTGGCACGGATTATGGCAATACTTTCCAAACATGAATCTCTCGTTCCTCGGATATAATCTGATCAGCAGCACGGAAACTGGTGGTGGGGGTTGCTGTCAGGGTAAAACGTCGTTTGCATATTTGTAACAAACAAAAACATGTCCTGTATACGCCATGCTTTATCCACCCAATTTCTGGGCAACGCTCTGGTCAATTTGACCGGTGTCTCGTTAACATCGGGATCATCTTAGAGGGAGCGATGTTGGAGCCTAGAGGCTACTGAAGCTGCTGCTGCTGCTGCTTCTGCGGCGGCGGCGAGGCGCCGTTGGGGGCCATCCATTGAGTCCGTTCGCACAAATCTGTCAAAACTTGACCCCTCCACCCCTCCCTGTACGCACACGGACTTTCTACACCCCCCCCCCCACCCCGAATCCTATAGAACGTCCGATATTTAATCCACGCAGAAACGATCAAGGATTACTAATATTAACTTGTTTAAGCAATCTTAATTTTGGAGCTTTCGTGACTGCAGGAATTATTCTTTGTTTCTTTCGGTTACGTCACGTCTAAAGATACAATAATAAATTAAATAATAGCATATTACGACGTTTCGATTGCAACACAAGCAATCATCATCAGGCATAAAAGAAATAGCAACAAAAATCTAACTAGAAAACTATAGACAGACATACAAGCAGACAATCACAAGGACAGACAGAGAGAGAACAAATATCGGCACAAAGAGAGAGGTTGTTTAAGCAAATAGATAGTCCACCGCCGGACTAACTCATTTGAAGGCCAATATAGACAAATTATTGAGGCTTCACCCCCATACACACGCATTTGGGTTAACCCCCCTCTCTCCCCTCTATGCGTACGAACTAAGTGGATGGCTCCTTGCCACAACGCATTGCTGAGCTTGCAACTTCTCTGCTCCCCACCAACTACACGCTGCCTGCACCCTCCTTCACCCAGAGGACTGTGCCGGTCAAATCAAACCCCTCGCGACCCGCACGGGAATCGGGAGGGAGCTCATCCAGCAGTGGAACGACAACAAGGACTGCTCACAGAGCGACACGGGAGGATTTCTCCGCAGCTTTTGGCCGCCGCCTGATGAAGCTGGTTGTAACTACGGGCGAAACGTGACCGTGCACTCCCAATTGTAAATGTTGCGGGTTCACTCTCCTGCACGAATTGGCCACGTTCTGTTTCCGTGACAAACATTACGAGTTGGCTACGTCGGGATGGTGGCGGGTTTAACGTCACAAAGAAGCCTCTATAACACATGGGGTGGAAAAAACCCGATTTTTCCAGAGGCAGGCATCGGGTTTTTTCTTTAATACAATTAAACCCGATTTTGGGGAATTAAAGCCTGGTTTAATGAATACGAAACTCTGATCCAAGGCTTAGGCTGCTTCCTCGTCGGTGCTGCTATCGTACTCGGGGGGGCCGTCGGGCACGGGGTAGTCGTAGAATGCGGCGGGCAGTTTGGTCTTGATGAACACGAGGAGCTTCTCCTCCACAATCGTGGGCGCCAGTGAGTTCCTTCGCTTGGAATGGATGAAGCCCATCATCGTTGAGAAGTTGGCGAATTGCGGTTCTGCAATTAGAACCAATTAAACCGGATTTCTCCCAATCGCAGATGATCGGGTTTAATATAAAAAGACAATTAAACCCGATTGTAAAAAAAAACCCAACTGTGACACCCTTGCTATAACAGGACTTGTATTCATCTTCTTGGTTCTTTCGGTAAAGTCACATAGAAGGGAAGTAATAAAATAATAAAAATAAAACATAATAAAATAATTCTCACGACGTTTCGGCCACAACGCAAGTAGCCGTCCTCAGGTGAAGACCAGGTCTGTCGAGGCGACAGCGTCTGAATGAAACAACACACGTGCTTGGAGCATGTATATAAGCTGGGTTGGAAGGGGGGACAGCCCTAATACGCACGGGGGGGGGGGGGGGCTGAGGCGCTAGCGGAGATGAGAGCCGTGCTGGCTCGCGTGAGCCGGGGGAGAGGACGCTTTGCTCCTCACCCTGACGGGGACGAGACGAGGTTGGTGGTGGTGGTGTGGGGAGGGGGGGCTCGGTGGACCGAGTAACTCGCCGCGGCACGCACGTGGACTTGACGCTTACACGTGGAGCCGGCGTGACCTCTGGCCCCCGGGACGTCAGAGCTCGTAGCGCAACGGGAGCCGCGCGCGGTCAAACACACGCGCGCGCACAAAAAAAACGCGATTGCAATCTATCGAAAATTGTGCAGTCGTTCCTCCCTCCATTGTTTCGTTTGTTGGTTCATTCGTGCACGCAATCGTTGGTTAATTCATTCGGTCGCGATTTTTGATAGTGAATGCATTAATTAATCGGTTAATACACGCATTGATTAATGGATTTATCACACACTCATTCGTTCACTAATCAATTCATTTATCACGCAATGCATCGATTAATCGATTATTTACTCATCGATTTATCCATACATTTATCGACGAAATTATCATACACGCATCCATTCATCAACTATTTTTTTCAGTTATGCATTCGTCAATTGATTAATCGTACATAGACTCATTCAGCAATTGATTAATTAATCGAGTCACCATACACTCATTGATCCATTGATAATAATCGTACTCTCATTCATTTATCCATGTATTCATTACACATTCATCCACAACAGAGTTTACATGAGTAAAAAAAAAAGTGAAACTCATCTCTGATTGCGAGCCTGAGCCTGTGATAGAAATTTCACATTCCATTCCACGTTCCTATGGCCGGATGCATCTAATAAAACCACCGGGAATGCACCCACTATTGTCATTTCTCGGGAACTCACCATGCACAACTGTTTGTTTGAATTGATGTGGGGCTATGACAAGGCAGCAGGGAAATCAATGTCTATGCCCTCACATCTCCCCCTACCTTCATTTGCATATACTGACCAGCGTGGTGAAGTATGGTCATATATCAGTTTAACACGTAGGGCTTTCGCGACTAATATTATTCATAAAGGTTTTTGGGTTAGATCGCGTAAGTATACATGTGTCGTCACCCTCCACCACCCGACGCAGCCAACTAGTGAGGGATTTAACACGTAAACAAAACGCCAATTAGTTACTACTTCAGCCCACCGGTGTGTTGGAGAGTAAATCCACAACATTTACAATTTGAGTAGCACGACATTTCGCTGGTAATTACATCCAGCATCATCGGACGATTTGCCAGAATCTAACTCAAAAACCTTTTTTATGAATATGGTCCTATAACTTCCATGACACATAGAGACCAATGTGAGGGCATCATCCAGCAGTAGATTGACGAACGCCTGCTCGTGAACATGGCCAGGAATATGCTTTCCATAGGCCCACCGCTGTTGACTTTCCATAGGAATTGTGTATTTATTTTATCGACCTCAGATGAATGATGGTGGGCTGAAGCGATCACTGGCCGGGACTTGAACTTGCGCCGATTGTGAGCCAAGCACTTTTGAAATCGCGGCGACACTCATCCAGAGATATAAGAGATCCATAGCTCATCCGATTTCCTCCAATATAAATAAACATTCTGAATACACGAGAGCACAATTTACTTATTCTTCCTGTGTATGGCGGATGTTGTAGATGCAGAGCAGCGACTACATTTTCAGATTCAGGTGGTTGCATCATTTACTAAAACCATTACAGGCAATTGACACGGTGTATGTTTAACTACTTCATTGCAGCCCATTGCGCTGAGAAGTGCTTATGCCACACACTGTCATCACAGCCAAAGTCAATCCATGTCCTCACCCTGGCTGAACAACAGCAGATGCGACCTGCAGTTGCTTAGCGTGTGTTTGCATGGGCATCGGCTTACGGGTGTGAAGAGCCCGTGGTGCCACGAATGTTTATTATGTTTGGGGGAGCGTTACGGCGTGTGGGACAATCTGACCTTACAAGAAAATGTGTGAATTATGGTCTCGTTGCGTCATTGCGCCCTCATTTATTGTATGAACTCATTTAAAACAAAGGATCCACCCTTGATCATAGTCAGCTTATAATAACAATGATTCCGGGCTTAATGCCACGTGAATATTAATTTGATTTATTTCCTTGAGTCTCAAGTCTCGCTTTGTTGCCGGGTGGGCTTTGCTACGTTTGGCTGTTTGGCCAATTCAGTGAATGAGAGTTTGGGAGGAGAAATGGATGAGGAGCAGAGAAAAGCCATCGCGTTTTCGAGGGAGGAGGGTGACACTCAACACTGAGCTCTCCTGGCCACTCCTCGCGCAGTGCCATGCCTACAACACCTGGCAAGCCTCGGTGGTTATCCATCAAAACACTAACCAGGGTCAATCCCACTTCGCTTGAGATCCCAAGATGTCCGGGCACGTTTATGGTGATAACTCAGCGATTGGCTTCTATAAATGTCCACGTGATGATAAGCCACTTCGTTGAGCTATCATTTGTGGTCAGACCGCTTCTGAAAAAAAAGTTAACCCGTAAAAACAAAGTTTTTCACTATAAATCCTTTATATGCGTGGCGGCTAGAGTCCTCTCGTCCTCTGGCTTGAGATGGCTGCCACCTATGGGTCAGATGATTGCCTGCCACCATTAAGCAGTTGGTAATTAAATATAATTTATTTTTTCCTAAAACGTGTAAAATTTTGGAAAAAATTTTCACGAAAATAAATTGTCACGCACAACGAGTCTGTGTGCAAAATGTCAGCTCGATTGGATCACGGGAAGTGGGTTAAAAAACGACCGAAAGATTTGCACGGTCGTAAGCGCGCAAGCAAGTGAACTTAATATAAAGGATTTAAAAAGAGATAAATATAGGGTCACTAGGCCTTACCTGGTAAAATTTTTACAAAAATGTGTATGGGTTTTATAGTTATTAGGATAAACTGAAAAAGTTCCTGTGCTTTTCTATACGCCCGTGTTGCCGTGCGAGTATGTTTACACATTCTGTTGGCGTGTGTGTTGCATAAAGAGAATCTATGGAGCCCAGTTAATTCCGTTCTGCGTTAATGCATTTCTGTCATTACTTTGTTTCTCCCAGGCAAATAACACAATTAGCACAAGATGAATAATGCACGTTACGTGCGAATGCTTTTAAACGCAACCACTTGTTTATTGAAACGGTCAAAATCTAAAACGTTACACTTAACCGGAGTCAGAAGAAATCCTTCAATGTTTTGCTTATTAACGCTGTAAATTTTTTTCAAACGGAATTGTTTTATTTTTTATTTGCTTACACACGTCCAAAGCGGAATCCTTTCGTGCTTTATCATTGATATGAAGTGTTTTTGTGCATTTTAAAATTGAGTAATTTTACCATTTACAACTCTGTTTAGAAGATATAGGCGATTGTGAGTGTGTCTCTATAAATTCTGATGATGCTCTAGAAGGGCTACGAAGACAACATTTGGCTGAAATATCGTCGAGGTTGGAATGTAGTTGACTTTGGAATGTAGTCGAGGTTGATTCGTTTCACTCACAGGCCAGGTTCGACATGAAGTGCCTTACATCTCGCGTTACGATCTCTATCATTTGTGGACCAAGAAGTTGCCTCCGATTGGAGTGTGACGCGATACTCTGGAGAAAGCTGTCAATGCCCACTGACCACTGGTTACAATCAAAATGCACATTCAAGCCTGCTTCGTGCTTGGATGGGTGACCACTGTGCGACAGCCACTGGACATATGTGAAAAGAGTTGTACGCCTTTTGGCGTCATCTGGTTCAACAACAATGGAGACTAGGCTCTAAGAAAAGCTGTCTCGGGTGTGGACCAATCAACTTCAAGGACAGTGCATATCATTATCATCATCAGAGTTGTTTCTTTTTGTTTGCATTTTGACTGCTTGTGTTGTGGTTATTGCAAACATGATCCCTTGTATAAAGGTGTTAGTTTGTGTACCAGTTGAAAGGGTAAAAACCTATTACTATATGTGAAAAGAGCTTCGGAGCTCAGCGGATTTCTCCAGGATAAATGAAGATCCTGACAACCGCTTTTGTTTTTAAATCCTTTATATTAAGTTCACTTGCTTGCGCGCTTATGACCGTGCAAATCTTTCGGTCGTTTTTACCCACTTCCCGTGATCCAATCGAGCTGACATTTTGCACACAGACTCGTTGTGCGTGACAATTTATTTTCGTGAAAATTTTTTTCCCAAATTTTACACTTTTTAGGATTTTTTTTTATATGTAATTACCAATTGCTTAATGGTGGCAGGCAATCATCTGACCCATAGGTGGCAGCCATCTCAAGCCAGAGGACGAGAGGACTCTAGCCGCCACGCATATAAAGGATTTATAGTGAAAAACTTTGTTTTTACGGGTTAATTGTTTAACAGCTTGCCGCAGGGCTGTGTGGTGGCCAGCGGGTGGCAGTGCAGAAAACTCAACGATTGCACGATACTTCTATGCCCCTGCGTCAATGCCCCATGATTTCATCAACCCTGCACTGGTCATGCTGTAGACGGCAATTTTTTTTTTATTCGCAGAGAAGATGAGTGTAGCCGAAGTTGTTGCACATTCTTCCGATTATCCATCTGTCTTGGCAGATAGCCACGCAGATAATAGGATCTACCAAGATTGCCCCTCAGAAATATTTAAACCGTACATAGTGCCTTTAATAAAAAAAACAGGCTTAGTGTGATTCTAGATTGGAAATTCTCGTTACTGTAAGGACCCATACTCTTTGGTTCTTTCGGTATAGTCACGTAGACGAAAAATAAAAAATAAATAAAATGTATTTTTATTTGTAAAATGTATTTTTTATTTTATATATGTATTATTTATTTATTAGTCATTATTTTTCATCTACGTGACTTTACCGAAAGAACCAAAGAGTATAGGCTTAGTGTGCTTAAAACATCAAGATGTGTTTGCTATGCATGTGCTCGAATTTTTTTTATTCAGTCGCGTATTTACGAATATACAGATTGCCGAATACATATACACATAACAAACAAAACATTGCCAGGCGAGTCATTTATTCATAATAAAGGTGTTTGGGTTAGATCACATTTGTACTTACGCCATCTAACCCAAAAACCTTTATTATGAATAATATTGGCCGCGAAAGCCTGCAGTACGTGTTGAACGAGTCATTTATCTTCTTGGT